CCCGCCGCCCGGCACCACCGGCGCCGAGCCCGCCGACCACTCGGCCCTCCGTGTCCGGGGCGCGCCGCTGCTGCCTCTGCCGCTCCCGCCGCCGCATTACCCCCCGCCCGCCACCGGGGACGCCATCAGCCTCATCGACAAGGCGTTTGGCGACGACGCCGCCGCCGACGCGTCCTGGGACAGCGTGTCGCCGGCCAAGACGACGGTCCAGCCCTTGTCGCCGAGCTCCACGCCCGCCACGATGCCCAAGCACGACGACGACGCCGCCGCGCTGCCTCTCGAGGTGTCGAGTGTTTTCGACGGCGGCAACATCCTGGGCGACGAGGACATTGTCAACTTGGAGTCGCGGGACGACTTGGTCTCCCTGTACGCGCTGATTGACACGTCGGGGGGCTACCTGGGTCTGGAGTAGACATGAATGAATGAATGTGCTGGACAAGAACCGCGAGAGTGGGAACATGCCGTTGTGTGCACTAGCGTAATGGTCGGGTTGGCGATGCATCCATCCGTGTCTTGGCAGCGTGTAATGAATCAAAAAAATACGGCGACTAGCAGGCGGTTGTCGGTTTCGCACCGTACTCTGGCTCTTTTGCAACGCGTGTACTACGTTTCCCTTGCCAACGTGACAAGACGCCGTGTGAGCGGCAAAGACAATGGGACCGCGGGGCCAGCGTGACAAGATGTCGAGGGTGGAATGAAATTGTGTCTATCAAGGTATCATTTACATTACATCGTTGTTGCTCACGTCACCACAGCTCCTCCTTTTCGACCTCTAGCTTTGCCATCTACGAATCGGTACCCTGACCCATTCTCTCTCACACACACACACTATTCCAACAGTCCCTTTGCATTCAAAACAGCGGCACGTGCGCCGGGTTGACATAGTCGACGTTGTCGGGGGCCGACTCGACGCGGTCGAGACAGGTGCCAAAGACACGGTCCCAAAGCCGCGTCTGCTTGCCATAGTTGTGGCTCTTGCGCCAGCCCTTGCGGTGATGCATGTCATGATCCTCCACCACAATCTCGGCATTAAAGTACTGCAGGATGGGATGGAACGTCGATAGCCCGGCGGCATGCAGTCGCAGCCCGCTGTGGCCGGCTACTTCGATAAAGGCAATATACTGGTGGCACAGCCACCACTCGTAGAAGCCCAGCGGGAGACCCATGGCCCGGAGACTCATATAAGTGAGGAACGGGATGCCGACGAGGTCGAAAAACTCCTGCTCCTCGTCGGCAAAGGCCGTCATAAGCGGGTTAGGATGCTTGGTCAGGTGGTGCGTGCGATGGAACCGCCACAGGAAGGAGACGTCGTGCATCAGGCGATGGTACCAGTAGAACCAAAAGTCGAGGACGACGCCGTAGACGCCGATTTCGAGCACCAGCCACGCCCACCACTGCCAGCTCGACAGGGCGTCGACGGGCTGCACGGATCGGTCGTAGGAGAAGTATATGGCGAGGGCGACGCGGCCGCCGGTGCCCTTGAGCGCCGACAGCAGCACCTTTGTCACGCTGGCGTCGGGGATGCCGTCGCGGTCGTGGACGTCGCCGTCGAGGAAGCCCCATCTGTGGCCCATTTTGCGAAGCGTGTGCACCTCGCGGATCAGGATGATGTTGAAGGCGTTGAAGTAGAGCAGAAACATGAGCAGGGGGTGCAGGCTCTGCCTCCCTATAAACGTCAAGATGGCCTGGTGGACGAGCAGCGGCGTGACGGCGTGCACCAGCACCCAGACGTGCTGGGACCATTGCGACAGGTACGGAATCTTGTCCGTCTTGGGGTGTTTCGGCACCGGCTTGTCCAGGGCCGTGGGATAGCCGTCGAGGGTTTCGAAGATCCAGTGGCTCCAGGTCCATGTGTCTCTGCTGGCGGTGCGCCAGGTCGACTTCATCGAGTCCTTGGGGTTCGGGGCCTTGGACATGATGCGCGGAGGAGGCCGAGGACGACGCTGGATAACCAAGTTGTGTAGCTTTCTTTCCCCGCGACTAGATGTTGATCTGGAGAGAGGCGAGGGCTACTTACACGAGCCCGGTGGGCGAGAAACCCGGAGTAGTTATAAGTCGGCCATTGTCAGGGACTCGGGGACTCAGGGACGGGACAACCGCCACAACATCTGATGCCGTGTGTCTCTTGCGCTGGGGTCCCCAGGTTCTCCACACCCGCAGGCGCGAGGTTTCCATCTTGGTGTTGTGGGCGGCGCCTTGGATGCCGTTTTGGGAGCTTGTGTCCGAGGATACCGGCCGAGCGGCGGCGTGCGCCCAGGTACCTGATTACCGGCGATTGAATACACGATCTGGCAGGAACTCGGGGGATATCTTTTACGTGTACGATATAATTTTTTTTTTATTTTTACGCTTCCGGGGCCTCTACGGCCTTGTTACTTGCAACAAAAGGCGTCGTGAAGTTGGAACGGGCACAAAAGTTATGCCGATGGGCCGTGCTGCGACGGGACCAGTCTCAACGCTTTCGACGCTCAAGTAATATATGCGATTGGTCAATGTATGCCCACATGCACACCGGAAAATACCACAGCCTGTCATCTCACATGGAAAAAGCATCGAGATGGGCTACGTGGCGACGACGGACGGTCGTGCCGTTTTGACAGCGCCCTGACAAGACGTCGTACGAGGACCGGAACCGCCGTCCAAACGAACCATGATGCGCGGGACCGGTTTGCCCGATGTTGTTGACAGCTACATTCCATATATAGTTACATAAAGTACCAACTCGCCAGTGGCCACTGCCGTCTCTGTAGGCTTGCTTGTTTTGTGGCAACAGGCTGTTCGGAGCATCACCGACGGATGCGTCTGGCCATCGACTTGCCAATCATCCCCAAAGCGCTTAGCACCGAGACACGTTCTGAACAAATGTGACTAACAAGTGTTGGCCTCCCCGGATCAAATGACCAGTACACGGGCGCGCTCCACATCGCTTGTGGCATTGACTGGAGAGAATATTGCCCTCGAGCCCATGAGCGTCAAGACTCAAGAGTATTCCCCTTCACAGTGCTCCGTAGACTTGTACCCGACGAGGGGTGGCTTTGCAAAATACGACCACAAGTTTCCAAAGATGACCGACTTTATTCGGCATCGTGCAAGCAGTTTGCATCCCCCATGTGCTCATCTGGTGGCCCCCTGGACATGTATTTGCTTCTTCCGCACCAACACCATCTACCTTGATTGCGTCTCTTCCATTGCCATTACAGTCCTTTTAAAAAGTTTTGTCTAGACTTATATCATTACTCTTTCTCCCCTTGGACTGCAATTCTTCGGCGCCAGGTGTCCTCTCCCCCGGGCTCATTTTCACCAGCATTGACATGTCAACTGCAACCTCCTTCAAGTCCAGGAGCAGCACTAACTTTGTCCTCTCCGGATTTTGCCAAGCTCCCAACTGATTTGCCACGGCCCGGTGATTCACACATTCCGCCAGCCACACGCGCTACCAACGACCCTGACAGCTCGGATATCCGACTCCTGTCGGAGCCAAGATCAGATTCCAACGCGGTTTCTCCTGCCTAGAGACGCCGTGTGCCGTCTAATTCGTCTATATAAGTGAGTCGGGGGCCATCAAGGGGGGTGGTTGCGTCCAATTGGGGTTTGTTCAGACCCGGGATATGCTCAGACGACGGCTCGGGTTGCTTCTTGTTGGCGATCCGTCGACGAAAGACGAATATATATATTGCCAAACCAAGAATTACAAGTAGTAGAGAAACATGTACTTTCATCACGCTAGTCACGTTAGAGCCCTCGGCGTAGCTGTCTTGGGGCCGTGTTGAACGTTGAGCTATCGGTTGGGGTAATATTTGTAGTCGTATTGCCGGCATCCCGGGACTAGACGGGAACAATTTGCGACGCCAAAACCATCACCTGCACATCGGTCGACACGGCTGTTACATCCATGCCCTGATTTACAGTCTGTGCAGTACAACTCCCTCTCTCTGCCTGTGTCTGCCGTTACCGTTTCACCCGTATGTAGCTTCAAGCCGCACGAATATGGCAAATGGCAGGAAAAGATAGTTGTGTATAGTAGCTGCCGTCATCTTCCACGATCAAGCAGTACCAACTCACGTCGGGCAACCACCAAACGCCGTTGGTTGTTTAGGATTTCTAGCATCCCAGCCGGAAAGCCCGGGAACGTAGGAAGCGCAGTCCGGGGGAGGAGTAAAAGTCGTTGTCAAGGGGCCACGATTCGTAGTTGAAGCGGGTAGTTTCTTGAATGTGGTGGATTCGAACATGGTGAGGGTTGATTCGGGTTCTTGCGATGGAAGAAAGACGTTCTGTATGAGGAGTGTATCCTCTGGGAGTTGGCATGGAGGCAGGTCAATGAGTACCGCGATTATAACCACGCGCCCATCGACTACTGTTGGCCATTGTAGCTTCGCCCCAGTGCCGGGCTATTTTTTCTCTATTAAAAGTCCCGGCATTGCAGTGTCGAGGGAGCATTTTACTGCCTTTTAGGAGAGCTTTGCTACAGAGTCGGGTTGAATGAGATGAGGTCAAATTTTAGCATCATCTTATTTCTTTCTCTGTTTTCTTTTCTTGGTAAAAATGAGGGATCCAAGTACCTTTCCAGTAGTGTGTCCAGAAGTCAAAATTATAGTTTCTCCGTTGAATAGGTCGACAACTATCCAAATATACCACAATCTTGGAACATTACTTCCACCGTGACGAATCAAAAAGTAGGGCAAGGTCGAACGGTGGTTTAGTATAATTAGCAACTGAAACAAGGTATCTTATATCGACTCTACAAACCAAGTAGGTTCAAGTCTAGTTTCATGGTGAGTCTAGCAAGGCAATGATGGGTAGTGATCTGGCAAAGTTTTGGAAATGGTTGTACAGGGTAGCAGCTGGAAGGGCCATGTTTGGAGCCTCTTGACGCCTCAAATGTTCAAAGTCGATGCTGCTTGACATGTAGCGCGCCATCCGACTAGCCCCTGGTCAAGTCAACCACCTAGGCATCTGGTGAGAATTTCCATTTGTCAGGTAATTGGGGGTGATCGGGATGCAAAATGCGACAACGTTGAGGGTACACGGCCCTGAGTGTTTCTCGTGAGCTGGTCGTCAAGGCGGTTTATGCAGCGGCAGGCAAACAACCTCGAAATATTGGAACACTGCAGGGGTCTGGGCCAGCCGCCGACCATCAAATGCCATCATGATCAAAGTCACGACATCAGGGTAGGTGGCCGCCTCAAGAACAACCAGACTCTTGGACTTTCTTGACGAGCCGAGGGGGGCAATCACGTGAACACGAGTGCATATGGTGACATGGGCATTCAAGGCCGGCCACTCAGAGCCGACAGAATGGGAATTACGACCCCTCCTTCGCGTCATACGGCTCCCAGGTCGCGTCTGACAGCCAAGGAGGGGGGACCCTGTTGTTGTAACAGGGAGAGGGGGCCATCTTTGCACAAACTGGAAGACTCAATCGGCTGATATTGAGAGGCAGAGGGAAATGGATGGACACACAATGCTGCGATGCGAAACAGTCGTCGTCAATGTGTACTCGATACATGTGGTGGGCTGGTGGCGGCGGCGAGGTCGACTTGACCCCACACCGCCCACCTTTGTCGCATCTCCAACGCATCTCGCAGGCCAGCTCCAGCCCATCAAGTCGTCCAAGCCGGCGACAGGATGGGGTCATGGTGCCATCCGCCTCTCAAGTGCGTGCTATTTCGAAAAGCCCTTTGGTCGTACCGCCATGAGCCTGGAGCCCCGGCATCTGCAAACGGATGAGCTGGTCCACAGTGGCCGTGGCAACTGGGGCCCGTCAAATGCCGCGGTGTTTGACCAAACGCTCTGACAGCCCGATCGGAACAGCTTCCCCGCAGCCGGGCTGCGAACCGTCTTTTTCTCCTTTGACAAAGACTAAAAGGTACCGAGTAAGCACTGTCAAGATGCACGGCTGACTTGAGCATGGCCCGTTACATGGAGTGGTCATGGGGCATAACGACAGCTGGCCGCTGCTGACGACGTGAATCCAATGTCAGGGGCATTGGAAGCATGTTGATGATGAGGAAAGGCCCGGAAAGCATTCAACATGCGATGCAAAAATTCCGTAATCGACAAAACAGGGGTGGGACATGGGACGTGAGGCACTGAGGCTAGTGAGGGGCAGCGCGGGGATATAAAACGAAGTGACATGATGCCTGTACATGATGGATGCGTGTTGTGCAAAAGATGGAAGGAGCGAGCAAGCCTCTCACAAACATTTGAAAGCTACTCCGTAGAAACATCAATTGGTGCCTCCTTTTGCAAGCCCCCTTTCCAGCCAAGCGAGCAGGGACCAAGGGGCAAAAGCCTTTCAATTGCTCACGATTCCTGTCATCAAAAGAGATGGTGAAGTCGATGAGAGATGAGAGATCGCTGAGACAACAGCTGCAGGCCGGAGCCGCCAAGCTTAAGCTTACCCCTGTACCATGGTACCTTGGTACTCCGTAGAGGTACAGCGGCACCGAGGCAGTCGTGGTGCCATGGACCAACGAGAACTTGGCCATTGGTCATGGAGCACGCCAATGTACCAATCGGCGTTTCAATCGAGCAATCAACGCTCCATCGTCGTCGGTTGAGCACCTCGTTTGAGCCACGGCATTCGACGGCGTCTGGAACACCGAGCTTTGCGCGGGGTCGACTGAACATTGAAGCTTCCTCGAATCCTCCCATGTTCCCCATTCCCAAGCCACGCCCCGGCTCCCCCTTCCTGCCCTTTCGACATGAATCTCTCCATGTCGGGGTCTTCTCACTTTTGATTCAACTAGCTGGGTACCTGCCCCCCCGTGGCACCCTGACGACCCTGAACGACCTTGCCTCCTGCCTCCTGCCTTAACGTTTTATATACCCCGCCATCCTGCTCCTCCCACCTTTGTTCAATTTCCTCCCCTTCCCTTCGACTTCCATACTTCTTCCCAACCAACTCCATCACTCATCCATTGCTCGTCATACATCCCATCACAATGGCCGAGAGCAAGTGTCCTCATCTCAACGTCGCTGGTGGCGGCACCCGAAACCGTGACTGGTGGCCCGAGTCCGTCAAGCTCAACATCCTCCGCCAAAACACCTCCGTCACCAACCCTCTCGGCGAGGAGTTTGACTATGTCGCCGCTTTCAAGACCCTCGACTACGAGGGCCTCAAGAAGGACCTCACTGCCCTCATGACCGACTCCCAGGAGTGGTGGCCCGCCGACTTTAACCACTATGGCGGTCTCTTCATCAGAATGGCTTGGCACAGTGCTGGCACCTACCGAGTCTTCGACGGCCGTGGCGGCGGTGGCCAGGCCCAGCAGCGATTTGCTCCCCTCAACAGCTGGCCCGACAACGTCAGTCTGGACAAGGCTAGACGTCTGCTCTGGCCCATCAAGCAAAAGTACGGCAACAAGATCTCCTGGGCTGATCTCCTGATCCTCACGGGCAACGTTGCCCTCGAGTCCATGGGCTTCAAGACGTACGGCTTCGCTGGAGGCCGTGCCGATGGCTGGGAAGCCGACGAGTCCGTCTTCTGGGGTGGCGAGACCACCTGGCTCGGCAACAACGTTCGTTACAACGACAACAAGGACGCCCAGAAGCGTGATCTCGAGTCTCCTCTGGCCGCCTCCCACATGGGTCTCATTTACGTCAACCCCGAGGGTCCCGATGGAAACCCTGACCCCGTTGCCGCTGCTCGCGACATCCGCACGACCTTTGGCCGCATGGCCATGAACGACGAGGAGACTGTGGCTCTGATTGCTGGAGGCCACACCTTTGGCAAGACTCACGGTGCCGGTCCTGCCACCAACGTTGGCAAGGAGCCCGATGGCGCCGGCCTTGAGCAGCAGGGTCTGGGCTGGAAGAGCACCTACGGTGCCGGCAAGGGGCCCGATACCATCACCAGCGGCCTCGAGGTCATCTGGACCAAGACGCCTGCCCAATGGAGCCACAACTTCTTCGAGTACCTTTTCAAGTACGACTGGGAGCTCACCAAGAGCCCTGCCGGCGCCAACCAGTGGGTTGCCAAGACCAACGACGAGATCATCCCCGATGCCTACGATGCCAACAAGAAGCACAAGCCCAGAATGTTGACCACTGACTTGTCGCTGCGCTTCGACCCCGCGTACGAGAAGATCTCGCGTCGCTTCCTCGAGAACCCCGACCAGTTCGCCGATGCCTTTGCTCGCGCCTGGTTCAAGCTCACCCACCGTGACATGGGGCCCAAGACTCTCTACGTCGGACCCGAGGCTCCCACTGAGGACCTCATCTGGCAGGACCCCATTCCTCCCGTCAACTACCAATTGATTGACGACAAGGATGCCGCCGCCATCAAGGAGGAGATCCTCAAGTCTGGCATCGACACGTCCAAGCTCGTGTCCACTGCCTGGGCCTCCGCTTCCACATTCCGCGGCAGCGACAAGCGAGGTGGCGCCAATGGTGCCCGAATCCGTCTGTCGCCCCAGAAGGACTGGAAGGTCAACAACCCTTCTCAGCTGTCCCAGGTCCTTGCCACCTTGGAAGACATCCAGAAGCGCTTCAACCAGTCTGGCAAGACGGTTTCTCTTGCCGACGTCATCGTTTTGGCCGGTGTCGCTGGTGTCGAAAAGGCTGCTCGTGACGCTGGTGTTAACATCACCGTGCCCTTCACCCCTGGCCGCAACGACGCTACTCAGGAGCAGACTGACGTGGAGTCTGTTGGCTATCTTGAGCCCCTGGCTGATGGCTTCCGCAACTACGGGACGTCGCATGGCACTGTCAAGCAGGAGCACCTGCTGGTTGACCGCGCCCACTTGCTTACCCTCTCCGCCCCTGAGCTCACAGTTCTCATTGGTGGTCTGCGTGCCCTGAACACCAACTACGACGGCTCTGCTCTTGGCGTCTTCACCTCTCGCCCTGGTGTCCTAACCAACGACTTCTTTGTCAACCTCTTGGACAACAACACCGAGTGGAAGGCTACCGGCGAGGACACCTTTGAGGGCGTTGACCGCAAGACGGGTGCCAAGAAGTGGATCGCCTCTCGCAACGATCTCATCCTTGGCGCCCACCCTGAGCTGCGCGCCGTCTCAGAGGTTTACGGCAGCGCTGATGGAGCCCAGAAGTTCGTCAGGGACTTTGTTGCCGCTTGGGACAAGGTGATGAATCTGGACCGGTTCGATCTCAAGAAGGGAAACAAGACGGCCGCTCGCCTGTAGAGTAGTATGAAGAGATTATGATTGTGGAATTTGAGATAGCTACAGAGATAGCCAGAGCCCCCCAAAATAGTGGGAGAAAGTTTAATGACCGTTATGTTACTCACCTTGCATATACTGACTGAGAATTGTCTGTGAATCGTGCATCCGTAAGCGCCGTGGGAAGATGACGGCTCGATTATGGATAGAAGGCACAGACTTCAGATGCAGCCGCTCGTCGCAGTCGACATTTTCAGCTCGCTGGAACCCCTGTTTCGCTACCAGGGCCAATCCTGACGTGTAATATGACATGTTGGCATCAAATGAGTAAAAAAAAGTACTAGTAGCGATTGCTACACAGAGAAAACAGTCTCGAGTCATCACCACAAGTAGCATCTTCAGCATTCCAACACAAGCCCAGGATAAGTTGGAGTCGGGTTGTCCGGAGCCGTTTGTATGGCCATCCTGCATGTGGTGTAGTGACTCCAGATGTCTACACATATCCCTTTGGGTGTTCGAAGGTGCCGATTGCGTACCGGGCCCGCTTTGTCTGAGATAACTAGCAGATACCTGGTTTAGTGCGTATAAATATGTATTTTTATATATATATAAAAATACATATTTATACGCACTAAACCAGGTATCTGCTAGTTATCTCAGACAAAGCGGGCCCGGTACGCAATCGGCACCTTCGAACACCCAAAGGGATAGTCGTTCTCACCCGCTTTGAAGCACTGCATGTCTCATGAGCCCGCATACAAATCATTCGATTGAGGTATCCATGATATTTTGCCAAATGCCCTGCCGGCATTGATTGCGACCTGTCTGTCACACTTCAACAATCGTCAATGATGAAAGCACAAGTTGAATAGAATGTATGATTGAGACATGCATCCTGTATGATTGCGACATGCATCCTGCGTGGATGTCTACTACATCTACGTCGACTGTGGTGGGTTGGTCGGGAAATGCAAAGTCCGTCTCAAATATGCTTACAATAATGTCTGAAGATGATATAATGTGATTAGTCTGCTCACCTGCAGGCAATACATCTTTGAGAACGCCGGTGCCTAGAAGCGCTCACAGTGGAAACTTATTTTAGTGTTGATGGATTTGGTGTGGTTGAACTTGGTTCATGTTTCCTCATGGACGTGCCGAGACATTCGTCTCACCGTGTCTTTGCGCACAATAACCGCCCGGTAGCACCAGGGTGAGATGGAATAGCAGGAGGATGGTCGTGTTGTTTGTTGAGATAACTGACCAAAATTCTCTAAGGCGATGGTGCCTAGATTTCTTTTATCTGATATGTTAAAGACTCATTAATCATAATGTTGATAAATTATTCAACAATTACTGCCCGGCCGAGACCATATCTTGAGTTGAGTACACTAGAATTTAACAGTATTGTCTCGTTTACCGAGTACGTGAGCAGTAATAGTTGCCGCGATTCCTCCGCCCTGTCTCGGGTCCTCGCCTGATGTCCCCCAGCCACTGCGCCGTGCCGACTCTGCTGTATGGGTCAAGACGGGAGAATTTTGCTGCGGTTGTCGCGGCTGACGGTGACGACCAGGACGAGGATAAGAGCGGATCAAATGATTGATCATGCGATTGACGAGGCTTTAGACGGAGGAATAGACCACGAGGACATGGATATATTGGCGAGACTAGTTTCGGGGAGTGTAGCCGGTATGGTGCACCGGGCATGCTTCACAACGTGAGACATCAGCTGCGGGCCAACCTACAACTATACGAGCAGTTTCGTCAGTCTCAGCGAAAGGAGTCTGGGAACGATTCCACGCTCTACGAGGTCTTTAACAATGCCACCTGATGGGTCTCAGACATGCGTATACTAGGAAGGGTACTGGGTCTATTCTTTTCGGAGCTGTGTTTTAGTATGCCCGGCAATGTAGCCGTCTTGATGGATTATACGTGATATGTTGGAAAGACTTCTTAGGTCAAGGCTTCAGGTAGGTCATACTACAGATATATATAAACACAGGCCAACAACCCATGGCTTTGCTTCAACACGTATCAACTCGGCGTGACAAAAACTCGACCGGTTTTCTGAACCCGCTACTCTTGACTCTGAATATTATTCTTGTATTCAAACGAGGCTTAAACATGAAGGCAATGACTATTGCGCTACTTTATCTTGGCGGTAGGTACCAGACTGGGGACTTGCTTGCTTACTATGCACCTAACTGTGTGAAAGCCCTTGATGCTGCTCTAGGTTTACAGTGCAGTTGCCCAAATTATCCTTCCATAACGGATGGGTGCTGCGATTACGTTGGTGGGACGAAAGCTGGTGCGAAGGGGAGTGCACAGCGCCGTGTAAGTACACATGCGTATTGCCATAATCGAGCGGAACAAGGCTCGGTATATTATCTGCCCAATATAACTCCCTCATGCTAACTATCTTTTAGTGTAAGAAAGACAGCTTCACGGACAAACAGAGATTCCGCAGGTGCTGTCTAAACAGTTCCATCATGCCTGAATGCGATCCCTGAGTCTGTGCGGGATGCGGAAGGAGGACTGCTGGACACTATTCTGTATTTCCCCATCGAGGTAACATGGCGTGCGTTCATCCAGCATCTTTGGTCGTTGTATGGAGTTCTCCAATGGAGTTTAAGCTCGGCCGGCCATAGAACCGCAATAGAGAGAGTTGGCAAACCTGACCCCAGTAATGCTACCATGCGGCAGGTATCATCTGTGCTTGTAACCCATGTATTCCTATGGACATTGTGTGATGCCTTTATTTGGTGGGTTTGTAACGCATTTCCCTTCATGAGAGAAGTGGCCGTGTGCATGGCCTTTATACATGGAAAGTGGAAGCATAGGACAGATCAAAAGTGCAGATCGAGTTGTCAATGCCTCTTTGGGAATCATGGTGCGAGACTCCGTCTTCCATGTCGACTGGTGTGACGTTGTAAGCCGACTGGCGAGACGGCAACAGGATGGATAAAAGACAAAGGAGACACGCCGGCAGATATAGCAATGTGTGAAGTCGATGTCCCCTCATCTTTTTCACAACATGATGCATTGCGTGAGAAAGAGTCGACCTGTTTTGCGTACAACACAGCCTAAACACGGCCTCACAAGCAGACATGTCTCAACAGAGCACGTTGTTGGACAAGGCCGTGGACAAGGCGGCCGGGAACAGACAAAACGGCCGCTCCGCAAGGGTGTACAATCTCAGCAGCACGACGTTGTCGTCCGGCCTGCGAATCCAAGACTCTTCCAACCGCGGCGACCTCGCTGCCGAGCTGGATCTCTCCGTCCTCAAGCGCTACGGCACGTGGAGGCACTGCGGCCATGACGTGGAAATTCGCCCCGTCGGCATCATGCGCAAGCAGGAGACCGTTGTCGAGGACGGTACGCTGTACCTGCGGGACATGACGATGAGTTTGAGGCCAGGACGTGGTTTAGGAACAGTTGCGTCCTGGTCATGGACACGAATGAGGTAGACAATGTGGTTGCCATGGGGAGCTGCGTGGCAGCGCTGAACAGGGATATCTAGACATTGAGCTTTCTGAATTACTTGGAAAGAAACCGGGTATTCGAAACTAAACATCCCAGAGCACTTGACGCTCAGTCTCGGAACCTACATTGGCCCCCGGTGCTATTCATCAGCTCGTAGTCGACGTAGCGAATTTGCTCCTGGCAGGTTTTGCAGAGCATCGCATACATAACTACATACCTACCTAGTTAGGCAGCTCTTAACCTGGGCCCTGACAAGGACATCACGAGTCCCATCGGCCGGAGGGAGAGGGCAACATTGCCTGGCACGCGGGCCGCTGCAGTGCAACATCGGTCCATGCACTAGCCGCAAATGCTGGAATTAAAAAAAGCCCAGATCTAAGACAAAGAGCCAGCTGACGGGCAAGGACAAGTCTCGATGCCGCAGCAAGGAACATGACGCACGCATCCCAGCCATGACCGGGCCGAAGCGCGCGAACCATCAATTATCAGGGTTGCGATGAACTCTCCGGCTGTACATATTCCCATCCAAGTGCGCGGCATCAAAACGACGCGGCTGCAGGAACAGGAGACACATGCCCCCCGCCGGTCATGATGTACATACATAATGTCAAGTATTGATAATTTTGACCAACTCACCACACGTTGCGCAACCCGTCGACGCTACTGGTTCGGGCCAATCTCCAACAACAGGGATGTGGTTTCGCCCGTTCGTCAGATGAGTACCAGCGATATAATGTATAATTTCCGCGCGCAACACGGGAACCAAACCACATGGACATGCTGCGCCAGCCACACATGGTCTCAGTCAACAGGGACGGGAATGCGGCAACGCGAGCAATGGATATAAAATGAGCCTGGTATGGCGAGCCCCAAAAGCCATATATATATACGGTCTTGTTGAACCGCCCATCTCGTGCTCGTTTCCCAACCCCCCCTTCTCACGAACCAAGAAAGGCCGCTTCATCATGCTAGCCGCCGTGCTGCTACTCATGCTGTTCGCATGTGTCGACGTCTCGCGCCAGTCCCCGGTGCGACGAGATGCTCGATCCCCCAAGACGTACACCTTCAACAACAGCAGTCGCTGCAGCCGCCGGCTCTCGTTTAACCAAGACGGCACGTTCCAGATATCCATATTTGAGGACTTGCACTTTGGAGAAAGTGAGAACCCCCTCCAAGACCCGTCTCGAACATGGCTCGACAGCTAAACAAGGCCGTCAAACGCGCGCAGACGCATGGGACCAATGGGGCCCGCAGCAGGACATCAACTCGGTCAAGGTCATGGACGCGGTGCTCGACAGCGAGAGGCCCGACCTGGTGGTGCTCAACGGCGACCTCATCACGGGCGAGAACACGTACCTCAAACACGCACCTCGAGAACAGCCCCGCCTACATGGACCAGATCGCCGGCCCGCTCGTCGCGCGCGGGCTGCCGTGGGCGTCGACGTACGGCAACCACGACCACAACTTCAACATCTCGGGCGCCGGCCTCCTCGCGCGCGAGCGGCGCTGGCCCAACTCGCTGACCCGGAGCATGGTGGCCGGCCGCGACGCCGGCGTCACCAACTACTACCTGCCCGTGTACGCGGCCGACTGCGCGCCGGGCGACGACGACTGCGCGCCCGAGCTGCTGCTCTGGTTCTTCGACTCGCGCGGCGGCTTCTACTTCCGCGAGCGCGGCCCCGACGGCCGCCAGGTCGGGCAGCCCGACTGGGTCGACGCCAGCGTGGTGCGGTGGTTCGAGGCGACGAGCGCGGCGCTGCGCCGGCGCTTCGGCCGCGTGACGCCGTCGCTGGCCTTTGTGCACATCCCGGCCAACGCGTCGCTCGCGGTGCAGCCCAGCGTCGACGCCCACCGCCAGCCCGGCGTCGACGACGACGTGCCGCTCGCCCGGCAGGCCCAGGGCTGGTGCGCCGACGGCTCCAACGGCCCCGAGTGCGTCTACGGCGGCCAGGACGAGCCCTTCATGAGGGCCGTCGCCGCCACCCCGGGCCTCATCGGCCTCTTCTCCGGCCACGACCACGGCGCCACCTGGTGCTACAAATGGGACCGCCTCGTGCCCGGCATGACCGTCGCCGGCACCGGTCTCAACCTCTGCTTCGGCCAGCACTCGGGCTACGGCGGCTACGGCAACTGGATCCGCGGCGCGAGGCAGCTTCGCCTGTCCGCCGACGCCCTGCGCCGCCGCCGCTGGGAGGCCGACACCTGGATCCGCACCGAAAAGGGCGGCGTCGTCGGCCGCGTCAGTCTCAACGCCACCTATGGCAAGGACTGGTACCCGGCCACGCCCAACGAAAAGACATACTGTCCTACGTGTAACTATACCGTCATCACGCCGGGGCCGAGGAGACGCTGACGTCGCCTAGGTTAGCACTTGACCAGCTGGATATTACTGCGGGGGAGAGGGGGATGTGTCACGCAGGGCTTTTTCCTTTGCTTCCTCCTTCTTCTTTTTTTTTTCAGCGCAAGCTTTTTATAGTCTTCGATTGTAATTCGGGGCGTTTTCTTGTGTATAGTCAAATGTGATTCATAGCGAGGGAAACGGCAAGAAGCCTGAACATACCGGCAGTTGAAGTTGAAGACTGGCCACCCCCTCTTCAAGCTTTACATAAGAAACAGCAACATGCAAATACAATGTCTGTGTATTGCCAACCGGAAATTATAAATTGCGCTGTAACGGGCTTCGCGAAATCCCAAGTAAGCAAGTAAACTCAGATCCCCGTCAGACGCCACCTATGCTACCCAAAGCCGCTGTTACCTCTAAAAATATGTACACTGTACACAATGTCGTCAACATATACAAAGTACCCATTAGATATATATATACCCTTTATAACCCCTGCGTCACTACTCCCATCCCCCAACATTCATGACGGCATCTTACTCCAGTCCTTGCACATGCCGAAAAACGTGCGACAAAATTTGCCGTATTCGACACGGGCATCGAATTTGTGCCACGATCCCATGGCGTGGTGAGCAAGGCGAGCGTCTGGATCGGTATATGGTTTGGAGCCCATGTTGCCGAAACTGCCACGGCCGGGGCTGTACAATCATGAATCGGCATTAGACGCGCGCAAACATACAAAAAGAAAATGGGAAAATGTAGAGAGCACATACCTAAAGCCGGTAATAGGCAAAACAAGCACATCCGACGCCAACTTGGACCGGCCGCCGTCTTTAAGGCCCGTCAATGCGTTCCACCGCAATCCGACTTGCTTCTGGAGCCAGGCGATGGTGGCTTCCGTCACGGCAGCCGGGCCCGTACGCGTCAACGGATCGTGGGCGTTGGGTTTCTCGCCATCGTCGGCCTGTAATGCAGCTTGTTTCTCCGTCACCAGCTTGTCCTTTAAACGGTCGAGGAATCGATGGAGAATGGGATGCTGCCGGGCAGATGCCATGGCCCAATTTGTCAGCTGAACAGGATGCGAGTAGCCCATGCGCCAGTATTGATTGGTATTCGGGTCCGTGTCCGCCTCGAGCCCCCAGAGGAGGTTGACGGGCCTAGTATTCGCAAGCTTGGCATCCGCACCATCACCCGTGGGCAGTTTCTTGCCGTACGTCTTGCCAGTTTCCTCGTCGATCCACTGCGTAATGTCCTCCTTTTGAATCCAGTCGGCCGGGTGTTTTAGCGGTACGGTGTCAACATCGCCATACTATCAGCCTGTCAGCAAAACCGCATGTCTTTGCGTACCATGGGACACAATCACCGGCAAAAAAAAAGAGGAAGAAAACGGAGTGCGGAACATACAATACCACCAAACCACTTGCACACCAAAACCCTGAAAATGTCCACCTTTTCCACTCTTGAAAACATGGTTTCAAAGTCTTGTACAAAATCAGGCTCGTATCTATCCACCAAGGAGGCAACGCCGTCATCGGCCCAGAAGAAATACGCCATCTCGCGAAAGGTGTCATTTGCGGAAACGGAATATTCGAGCCATCGTTCGATATAACCCAGAAGATGGCTGTTCAAACGGCTCAAATCGACGTCGTTCCACTTCTGATGGACAACAAGAGGGATGTTGGAGAAGGGCACTTGTCGCTGGGGGCTGAGTTTGGCAGCCTCTGAAGCAAATTTGGCAGCGTCGAGGATATTTTCTGGCTCGGGGTGGTCTCCTTGCCACGACGGCGGGACGAACCAAGCTATTCGAGGAGTCAGCACGATGCTTGGCCATTCTTTTGCCAGCGGTGTACAAATCCACCGTTGCGCTTCTCTCGAGCGCAGCGAGGACCCGAAAAAGAAAAGGGGGGGTCATATACCTCCGCCAGCAGTGCGATTGAGCTGATTAAACTGCTGAATGTGCTCCCATGCCAGTGGAAACTGCCGGCGAATGCTCGCTTGATCCAAAAACCGGGGCCCGCTCGACCTGGAAAAAAGAGTAAAGACAATGACGCCAAAGACGACACCGGAGAAGAGAAGCACGCGCGGCCGGAGGCGCAGAAAGCGAGGCGAAATGAGCATTGCGGGCTCTCTCAGCCCGGAAGCACAAGGCAGACCGGCTTGTGTATCGAGAAGCCTAGAGGAGGGAGGGAGCCAATGCAGTATCGTGAGCCGCTAAAGAACGTTGTTTAGGTAATCGAGACTGGTCGACGGGTGGGATGGATGAGCTTTCTGTTCTATAGGAACATGCTGGCAGAAATTTGGGCGATTGGGCATGCCGGCAGTCGAGAGGAAGAGGCCAGACGGAAGCAGAATCAGGTACGGGGGAGCAAACGAGGGGATGATGCCTTATTACGCAAGGGGCGGAAACGGATGAATGAATGCCAAGGCTGGCGGCTGGCGGCTGTGGGCGAGGATGGGTTGAGGGTGTGCAGGAGGTGTTAATTTTGGAGATGATGATTTTCCGACGACGGATGTGACCAACCAGATCAACGGTGGCAACCAGAGGCGCCCAAAGCGCGTAGTCTCAAAATGCAACCAGACTTGACATGGAAGCATCCATCCAGTCATGGATTGCTGGATTCCAGATGCCAGCGGGCGCTGGGGCATCAGGGGCCAAGGGGGGGGATGCTCGTGCTGCAGGTGGGGCTCCCAGGGGCGAAGCGCTGTAAATGGCCAACTAGTGAATCTTGAGTCTACTAATCACTGCGTTCTTCATAGTTGCACTGTTATGTAGATGTGACCGTCAGACGTGACCCCTCACCCCAATTGCTGATCTGACCAGCACCTAATGCAGCCGCAGAGTGTTTACCCAAATCAAAGGAAAAAAAAAACATCCAGCTATTTAGCTTCAAAGATTGCACCAGTGTCCGCTCCCGGTCAACTCAAGTGCGGGGCCCAAGATGCAATTGAGTGAGTGGTTGGGGTAGCCAATGAACAGCAAAGTCTAACGGCAAAACCCAGTCCAAACAGCCCAACAGCCGATAGCACTGACTTCAATGTTCGAGTACTATCAATTGATATTTAACTTTACACTTGACGGGCCGGGGCCATCCGGTCAGCACCCATCGTCACAACAGGTTAGCCAGGACAAAACAGCTATTCCCTACCGACTCAACGAGTCATGGAATCATCATTCGACCACATTAGTCCGTTATCCGTTCCCGGCAGCATCAGGGACTGGGGAAGTTTAATCTCGGCCTCATCACCTCGGTCCAGAAGACTGGGCTTAGAGCTGGCAGCCACTTGACTGAACGCTTGTTCGTGTCATCTCCATCCATGCTTGCTGCTTCCAATGTTTCAATCGCACCCGCACACTGGACACTGGACACGACAAGCCTGATGCTACAATACGCTCACATTAAATTAGGACAAAGTGTCCAATATTTCTATGTACCTTTCGCTCAGCAATCAACCAAACCATGTATATATATATAAATGTTGCTATGCGTCGTATTTTGGGGGTGTTGTGCGGCAAGATTTCGCCCGTCACCCTCTCAATCTCGCATTTTCCCGCGTACAAGCATGACCCCCCCAGGCAAAGCAAGCATGACATCAAGAATAGGTCCGACGGGGAAGGGGGGGTATCTAAAATCGTCGTAGCAGAGACTTCCTCCTCAAAAACAGCGCCAGCGCAACTCCCACAAAGAAGAAGAAAATCAGGTTGATTCGGCTTCCAATGGTTACAATCAGTTTCGCGTCGTACGAGTGCCATGATGAGCTGCCCAGGTGGTCAAAGATGGGTGTCGATACCCGCCCGTTCAAGCTGTGCAGAGGCCCCGGGAGGATCTTGAGGTCGGTTCGGTTGGATTCGTACACGTGGATTACCGACGCAAAGTGGCAGCCAGTGCTGAACATGACAGTTGCGTACGGAAGCCCCAGCCATTCTTTGTTGTAAACGGTGAGGTTGCGGACAATGTCGCCAACAAAGGCATTGCCCTTACTGGCCATCATGAACCCGATAGAGAAGCCTGTCGGGTGAGCCTCGGGGGCAACGAAGGAGAAGCGTCGGAGCGGACCCAAGGCTCGCTTGCACTTGAGGTCCATATCCAGGATGACTCCTCCATAAGCGTACAGGAGCATATATCGAAGGGCATCGATCCTCTCCACGGGATAATGATAGTTGTCCCAGAGCTCCCTCAGCTCAGGGAACTTGTCGCTGACAAACTGGCTGGCTTTGTCGTCGGTCCAGATATGTGACTCCCAGCCAGGATGTATATCGAGGCAGCTCTGTACAGCCTCCCCCCAGCGACCCTTCCATCGGCCTTCGTTGTCTCCCAATGCGATATGGTGCAAGATGGGCGGCACCACGTCTTCATACGGCTCAGCACTGACTTGGTGTATGCTGTAGTTGGCAAAAGACACGTCGAAATTGTCGTGCGACTCGGACAGAATGAAATCGGATGCGTTGTCGTGCCAGAATATGCGGAGGGCGGCGAGTGTCCAAGTTGTGTACAGTAGGTGGCGGCCGAACCACATAGAAACGATTAATATTACCAGGGCTGCCAGGAGGATTTGCCGGAATTTTCCTCCAGACTGGTTCCGTATATAAGATGACTTGTGCATTGTGAATTTTTTTCTCCTCGCCGTTTCGTATGCCCAAAAATCCCGCTTCTTGTGCTTGAGATTAATTGCACGCCCTCTATGGCGTTATGGCCAGAGTGTTTGACCAGTCGAGGGATAGTTCGCGAGTGCGACGGGGATTCGAGCGCGTGTTGAGAGGCACTATTATTACAAGCGCGTGTCGAATCCTGGGACCCTTGAGGGAGGACGATGGGTGCTTGTAGATGACAGAATTCGGTGAAGAGCTTAAAATGAGACGCACGACGGTGAGTGCGATTTGATTGCAGTATTAACGAAGCGAGAAAATATGACAGGTTAGGTCGATGGCATGCGGATGATGGAAATAGACGCCAAGATCTTGGAAGATCAATGGTACCGAAGATATGATGAATTCAAGTGTGAAGGAGCGCAGACATGTTGAAGTGGAATGAGGCGATCCGAAATGCAGAGGTCGGGCAGTCTTGGTCGACGACGAGCAACAGGCCTGAGGGCGACGACGAGGACGATGCGATGTCGAAGTCAAAGTCGAAGTGATGCTGCTTCTCCTTTCCGGTAAAGGAGAGTGAGTACTGCGCGTTGAGAAGCGTTTCTAAACTGGTTGCTGAGACAGACGGAATGTATGAGGAGGAGAAAGAAGCAAAGATGAACAAGGGAAGGGAGGCTGACGGCTGAATAAAGGAGGGAGGTCGAGTGTCGTACAGATTACATGAGGATGAGGCAGGAGCGCAGCGGGACAAAGAACATGCCCCGGCACACAACAGCGCAGGCAAAGGGCAGATGGGAGGACCAGGGGGTGATTCACCGGGGGCTATGCGAGGGTGGTCCAGATTGTCACCGGGGTCAAGTCTGACGGGTCAACTGGTTTGAGCGGTTGGGCGGGCGAAACGGGGCAGACGAGGCCGAACGTTAAGCCAATAGGGCTGTTGCAGGCGGTGCAGGGGTTGCAGCCCAGCGGCAGTGAAGCAGCGATGGAGTGAATGAGGCGCGGGCCAGTCCATGTCGTTCCATGTCCCCCATCCACCGAGATGGTTGATGTGCGCTCGAGTCGTGGATCAAGTGGGCGGGCTATATGGCCTTTGCTTGGATGGGCGGCAGCCCTGTTTGACAACTGACGAGCTTCCCAGGTACATATGTACCCCGATACCTCATCGCTACACCACTGGGCGAGGCACTTTAGGGTCAGGTCTGGTACCGGATATAATATTCTTGCACAATCGAACCACGGAGCACCAAGAGGACGAAGCATTGAACCGTCAACGGCACCCGTCTGGACGAGGGCCTGGGCCCGGGCCTTGACGCCAGGGACACACTCCCCAAACTCCAACGAGCGCAGTGCTCTCTCCCAAGTGCTTGATGTTTATCACGTCTGCACCTCCATTGCCGCACGAGTACACCGTATTAACGAGGACAAACGATACCGACCGACGGCGTGTTGAAAGGGTCCGGTCAACTTGACTCAACCATCTTGCTGCCATTACGGAGTACTCCCAACATGGTCACAGCCAGCGCTACCCAGGGTTGGCAAGCCACATTGCCCGCCTCCATGGTTTCTGATAAAGCAGCAAGGCGTGCATCTTGTGTGGCTTTGAAACAAGCTTTCAGGCATGTCATCATGACTTTTCGCCTGTCGGTCGCATCTCGCTGCCCAGATTGCCTTGCTTCCACGGAGTAAGACAGGTTACGGTTGGTGACGCTGTCCTTTGTTCCATGTCCCTTTTCAGCACACATTCGTGACAGCATTGCTTGCACGAGCAGCCAGCCCACTCCGTGGTCCCTGTCTCGTGTGCGCGACGATTGTATGGCGACCAATACTGCGCCTGTCAGAAACATAGCTGTGCGTGTGTTGGGTTGGTTGCATCATCATCGAATCCGCTGGCCCACTGCTGACATTCGATGCCTATCGTTTTGGTTAACGGGAGGGTCCCAGTCGCAGTCGTAACAAGTTGCGAGGTACTACTAGTAAAAGCGTCTTCTGTTCAACGTTCCACGAAAAGATAGACTGCGTACGGCATACCCCCGTACTCCGTAGACCTACCTACCTCGTAGGTACACCTAGCCTAGAGGTACATACCATCAATGGGAGACGTTAGAGGACACCGGCTACCCGATCGTTGCGCCTACGCGAAATACGTCTCCCGACGTGTAACGACCATGACAAGGTGCCGAATGGCGTTCGGCTGGCGAAGCTCTCGGGTCGCCAAACCATGCCACACCAGACTCTTCTTAGCTCTGCAGCGGACGGGCAAATGCAGCCACGGTTGCCGACCACATGTTCGTCGTCGCAATCATGCCGTCAGGTTGGGTGGTGCACTGGTGGCCCAGTCCAGGCCTTGTGTTGGTTAGTGGCTGTCAATTTTACATGTCAACAGATGAGTGTATTCTTTGCCCAGTCGGCAACACGGCACACTGGGATCCAGCGAGCCATGTTCCAACACGGATTCCTAGAGCTGGGCTGCAGCCATGGCCAAGCCACTGCCAATGCCCCCAAGGTGCAATCTTGTTCTGTTCGGGAAGTGTCCGGGCGCACCATCTCAGCATCACAGCCTCTCTCCTTGATGGAGAGCTGGTCCAAAGTTGCGGGGACTAACGCGGATTGCTGGAGACCAGCGCCGGCGGCCCACGCCTGGGAGCTGCAACTCCGTGGGAGCAGGACGAAGCAGTCAGTGCCTTGCCCGATTGATTGCCCTACAAGGCTCGCCAAGAAGGCCAAGGTCCATCATCATCATCATCAATGGAACGCTGGACCCAGTCTGCCGAGAGCCGTCACCACTCACCAGGGGCTGTCCTCCGTGCTGTGATGGGATTGGCACCGTGGCTGTTGAAACACCGTACTCGGTACTCCGTAGCACACAGTCAGGTATGACATGGATGGACCCAGCCGTGCCGATCGCCGTAGCTGGTCGGAGTCGGGGCTGGAGCTTTGAATTTCCGCTGTCCGCTGTTCTCGAGGCTGTTTGGGGTTTCAAGTCGGCCTATCGAGGAGACACAGGCTGCTGTCGACGGTTCAATTGTGATGCAGTCAAAGTGCTCCGTAAGCCAGACGAGATATGCCGGTAGTGAGTGTAGAAGGCGTGAGCATGACTACGGAACAATCCGTGCAAATACGACCTTGACCCCTAGCTACTTCAGGCCACAACCACCAAACCGAAAAAAGATGAGACCAAAGAAAAAATTCAAATCAAGGAACCAAAGTTCATGAAGCATGGAGGCCGCCGCCAGGCTAGAATGGGTAAGGACTCATGCGAGCAACAGTGACTAGCCACTGGGGCACGAATAGACGCGTCCGCGAATGACGTGGCGAGGCGGCCGGACTGTTGCAAGTTAATTTACGTAGCGGGAAGGAGCAGTCGTGGCGCCCAGATGTCGCCGGGACGTCCATGTCGTCAACCTGCAAACCTTGGAAGGCCAGTATTCTGCAAGCTCAGGCTCTCAAGGCTGATCCAGCAGCTTCGTTGCGGATTTTACTCCTCGAGACGCTCCAGCCGGGGGCCCCCATTGATGCCGGTGTGGGGGGAGTGCGATGGCGTTGATGACGCGCTGCCAGAATATCTATCGACTGGATGGCCTTTCGTCTCAGTTTTATTCCTTTGCCAATGCGAGCCAAGGATGAGTCAGGTCAACAGATATCAAAGCTGGAAGGATGACATGGCCATGAATCGGGTGGTTCTAGCTTGTTCTTGAATCAAACTTCGTCTCTCCCTCCCTCTTCCCTTTTTTTTTTTTTTTGAATCGTTGGTGACCTGGCACGTATGTCACTGGGGCGCTCGCCAACTTCCGACGGCGTTAAAGTGAGGAGCCGTCTCATTTCCCACGACATGTGCCGGTGAGCGTGCGGGAGACCCATGCCAATCTACTCTGCAAAATGAATGAAAATGAGTGAGAGTAATTAATTTATCCGTCTCCGCACTCCGCAGTTTTTTTAAAAAAAAACAGTCAACAGTGGACTCCATACTCGAGTACAAATGTACATGTGCGCCACACCACCAGCCGCCATAAGCACCAACTTGTGGCGCAGCCTAAACTCTCATACTGTTCTTTCATTTCCGGCCAGGTGGTGATGTCAGCTTTCAGTGGCACCAAGTTTGCCTCGACAATCACATCGATATCCAAGCAGCTTGAGACGACCATCCATCACAGCCGTGACCTCATCTCCATCATCTTAATAGCCACGGAACGCTCCATGTGCTGCTCACTACCCATCTACGCGACATTCTGAGGTTCATCAGACCCCTACAAAAGTTCAATCTCTGCCTCCCCCGTCGTCAGCACTCATGGTGCGCAAGCTCACCAACGCAGTGCAGCCCATATCAAGGGCGTGCCACTGGCTTGTAGCCACTCGCGTCCGTCGTCGGTGGTTTCTCCGGATTGCCTTGATTGTGTGTCTATTCCCTCTCTTCCTGCAATGGTTTCTGGCCTACATGGTAGGGGGCGACGCTCGTTTGCTGCCTCCCGAGCTCTCCAAGGCAAAGAACCTGCTCATCGTCACGGCCCACCCCGACGATGAGTGTTTATTCTTCTCGCCAAGCATATTGGGCGTTTTGGACAGGAACAAGAGCATCAAGGGCGGCTTGGTCGTCATGTCTACAGGTATGGTGATGAACGTATTCCTCGCGCTCATCTACACACGTCGCCTTTTCTTTTACCATGAGCACTACCAGACTTGGCCGTTGAACCCGATGCCATTGGCTGATACGTATCTCTATAGGCAATAACTATGGGCTTGGCGAGACCAGAAAGAAGGAACTTTTGGGTTCTTGCGCGGCACTTGGCATCGACACATCTCGGTGCGTTGCTCTAGACCACCCTGATTTGCAGGATAATCCCAAGGTCTGGTGGGAAGAGGCCAAGATCAAGCCCATATTGAAGGAGTACATTGAGAAGTGGGACATTGATGCCGTAAGCGATGCTTCCGAGGGACCAGAACGGCCATACAGCCAACTGACAATCCTCGAAAACAGATCATCACTTTTGATGAAGGTGGTGTGTCGGGCCACATTAACCACCGAGCCGTCAGCTCTGCGGTCAAGTAAGTGTTTTGCTATCAGCAACTTGCCGAGATATCACAGCTGACTTTTGGCACCCCAGTCAATACGTGGCGGAGAACGAAAAGGCACCAGCATCGTACATGGTTGTCTCGGTGGCGCTTCCCCGGAAGTACACCTTCCTGTTGGATCTGCCGCTGACTGCACTCTCGTTCCTGTGGAGGATTCTCGCCGCCGTCTTCTTCCCGTCGAGCTCAGCGGAGCCCAAGTACAGCACGCGCGCGTTGATAACAAACACGTGGCATCGTTACAGGATGACCAGGCGGGCTTTTGCGAGCCACGGCAGCCAGTATACGTGGGATAGACACTTGTACATGATTATCAGTCGCTATGTCTGGTTCAATGATCTGAGGAGGATAGTCGGGACGGCAACCACGGCTTGATGAAGATGCTTTTTCGGCAGTGTTGCAGAGCGTTGCATACCAAACCAATTAATACTAATTTGTCTGATACATGTTGCGGCCACTAAACGTTGGGTGTTTTGTTCTCACAAGCCAATCTGGCTGGTATATGACTCAGGTACCAGATCCCGCACGTATCCTCTCCCATGCTTCCTGAGCAGCTCCTCAACCTCCTTCCTCGGAAGTGCCTTGGCCTCGAATCCGTTGAATCCCTTCATCGTCTCAGCCTCCGTCATGGAATTCAGAAGCGCCTCCTCGGTGGCCTCGGCGGCGGCAACAAACACCGAGTCAATGAGCATGGATTTCATCGTCTCCACGGTATCCGTCTCCAGCAACGGCGGCAAACTGCTACTCACCCCGTCCCATGACGACGGCGATTCCGGAGTATTTGCGGTGGAAAGGGCCATGAAGAACTCGCCGCTAAAGTTCCGCCCGACCCCGTGGCCGGAAACTTGCGAGAGGCCCATGCCAGCACGCTGGGCTATGCGTCTAAGCTGGTGTGGGAGAAGGGGCACATTCGTGCTACAACCGTGTCAGCAGTCCGTTTCTCCCGTCATGGTGGCCATGGGACTTGCATGATGACAACGAGACAGCCTTGACACAACCGTCAGCATGTACCCTGCTACAAGCACAGGACAGCAACTCACTTCCCTCGGCGGCCTTGCCACTCTCCGGGGCCGTCGGCGCCGCCATCGCCATCTTTCTGGCCTTGAGCATCCTCCCCACGGGCACCCCGTCAATCTGCAGGTCGTCCATGCTGCCATAGTTGTTCTGCACAATGACGCCAACAGTGTACTCGATGTCCCCGTCGCCTTTCAAGACGCGCGAGCTGGTTCCCGTGCCGGCCTTGAAGCCATGGCTCCGCATGGCCGTCCCGCCGCCGTGGTTCCCTTCCAGAACAGCCTCCTGGGTTTCGGCGCTCTTGATGGCCGCCAGGACGTGCTCTTCCTCCACGGCACTTTTGAATATGTTGTTGAGCAGGCCGTCAAAGGTTTCGCCGACGGTAGGAAATCCATAGTACTGCACCTGGTCAAGCAGGTCCGCGATGCCGTCTTGTCGGAGGCGCTGGGCCGTCCACCGCCAGAGGGTGTCGTAGACTTTGCCCACGCTGACGGTATTCGTGAATGCAATCGGCTGTACAATTCGTCAAATCTTCCGACGGGATCACGACCAGGGGAAATGCGAAAATCGTACGCACCGCTCGGGAGAACCCCCATTCGCGGAGTTGGTGCACCCCCGTCCATTCACCAATGCCATTCATGTCGTGCACCGCCCCGTAGCATGGAATGTAAGTCGTCTTGTCGATGCCTCGGGGGAAGATGACCGTCACACCGGTGTGCACGTCCTCGCCCTTGTTGATGTCTACTTGGCCGACACGAACGCCTGCCCGACTTGGTCAGTTTTCGTCTTTGTCTGCCCACGAAAATAACCGCCCGACGGTGTACTCGGTACGCACCGGGGACATCGAGAACAGAATTGCGAGGACCTGTGGGGAAGCGCCCAGGACTATAACCCCAGTCGCGGATCCGGGATGAAGGTTTCTGAGCCACCATCTTGGAGAATGTATTGTCAGAATCTTCTGTAGACTTGCTTTCGTCTTGTTGAGTTTCGAAATGTGCTTATTGTATCGAGTTGGAGAAGCCACCGGCATGCGGGGTAGAAGTGATTTACACGGCATGACGCCAATTTCATGGGTACGAGTCCCGTCGCAAAGCAATGATTACTGCTATCACGAGGCGGTATAATAGGAGAGTATCATTGTCATTCAAGATTAAAGTCGTTGTCATGGCTAGCAGTTCACGATGGGGATTTTGTCCTGGACAATCTTTCGTCAGTGTCCAGCCCGCACTGCCACAATGCTTGATACAGATACCCTTCCCCGGGTTGTTGAACTCGAGCCGTTTATGAACAAGGCGCCGAAATGGAAGAGCTCATGTCGGGCCGGCAAACGGTCGTTTTGTCGTAGTTTGTGGCGAGGGCAAGTATACCATCTAATCCCGGCCAAACGCAATCTCAACAGCCATCGCCCTGCTATAGTATCCGAGACCATCGCGGCCAAACGCAATCGAAATGATCTCTCATGCAAGTTTCCGCATTTATTAGCTTCTTAAAAAGTCCCCATTTGGGTTGGAGTGACCGTTGATGCTCGCACTTGGCCGGTCGATCGTGTACTTCACCACGGAACCCGCGGCCAACACAGCAGCCCACGCAGACCGTATGGATGAGGACACTGCCACCGCAGTGTATCCGAGTGCATGTGATGGCTTGTAAATCGTTTGGTCCTCGGCAAGAGTCCGAGGGGATTGGAAGATTGGACTCATATGTGAGGATTTGCTGGCGTCTTGGCACATGGCGCAGGAGGTGGCTTAGAAATTGGCATTGTTAATACTTTCTTTACAATCGGATAGAAGTATCTCCAGCCTGGCTAGTACAAGAATAGGACTTTCATGTACATATGATTGGGTTTTAACTATGGTATGTATAGTCTATAGAAGAGTGCATTTGCCTATATTAGCATCCTTTCCTTAAAATATTGTACATGTACAAAGAGTGCTTTATTGGACCTCAGCCTTTCTAATTCATGTTCTCCTTCTATTTCTTCATCTACTACTCCCATTTTATGAACTTGGAGTGAAACCCGTATTAGTGGACTCTTACCTCGACCTTTTTTTAAATGTAGTCAAAGTAGAAAGCATGCTGTATTAGATGTTCGCTCTTGTCTACTTTATTTGCCTCTTTTGTCCTTGATATTCCACGCTGATTAGCGTCGCTTCGAGTATCTTTTCTCGGGGCTTTGTGAACCAACTTGGAGATGCTAGGCTCTACCCCTGCACTTTCCTACCAAACATGAGACTTCTAAGAAGCGTCATTGTCGCACAATTACCACGGTGGCTCCTCGAGGCTATCATCCTACTATCAAGGCTAGGTTACAATGGCGAAGGAAATGGAGATGAGCAGAAGGGCCTCAAGCGGCAACCCGACGCATCAAAACGCTATGCTGACCATGTAAAAGAACATGGATTCTTCGTTATTGATGAGGTGACACAGGAGCTCCGTGACCACTGAGGAAATCGGGCCGAATTGTAGAAAGCTCTTGGTGCGGTAATACAGCCGCCTCCGAGCCCAGCTCTGTTTCCCCTCTTCTCCTTCTGCGACTGCATCTCGCGCGCCAATGTCTTTTCGGCGACCAAATCTGGAATGCGCCAGTCCACACGTCCAAGTCGCCTTCAGGTTTATCCTGTTCCATGTACAAACTGAGTTCAATACGCCTAGTCGTTCTTCCTTGGCTCCCGTCGAGGTCGCAGCGAAGTGAGGATTTCCTCTCTCATCAGCCAGGCTACCCACCACAGACTTCCAGGCCCAAAAAGTACACCTACAAAGAGACCGAGACTGGTGATTTTGGCCCAACTGGTTTCTATTAATCCGGCCGTCTTCAGTTCTCGGAACTGGTAGCCCAGCCACGTCAGGGCCGAGCCAAAAACACAAATATAGTCGAATTGGAGAAGTGTGCCCAAGGCGGCGCCAGGGTCTGCTGCGGATTGCCAAAAGTATTTGGGCACGTACACCTCGCTCCACGAGTAATGCGAACTCATGAGGACATACCAATAGGTGCCTACATTGACCATGCCCAGGCAAACTGCCGTCAGTCGTGTAGATTTCAGCCCATTATGCAACTTGACGCGCTTGGACAAGCTCGTGGGCATCATGGGGAGCAGTTGACGCAAAGTCCAGAGCATGCCCGAGAAACCCAGGAACAGAATGGCACCCCATAGCCCGAACAATTGCCAGACCCAGTTCCACCAGTGTCGTGCAGAGAAGTCCGGGCCCAGGAAGGATTCAAAGTGAGGAACATAGAAGGACAAGGCCACGGCAGGCAGCACAGCAAGAGCCGACGAGTCGCGGAGCTCCTCGGGTCCCTTGCTGGCCACCAAGTTGGACAAGGTAGTTGATCCGTGTAGAAAGTAAAAGTACACGGGCAGAAGCAGTCCTGCCGTGGTAAGCTGCGCCAAAAGACTCCCCAATACGGTCCTGCAGTAAAAATGGTCAGCATTCGCCGCCAGCAATAGAGGGCAGGGGAGCATACCAAAGCAGCAATTGGGACCCGTGAGCGCGGCGACACGACTCCAGAAGCAAAGCCGCGTAAATGGAACCAAATTGTGCCAAAAAGTCCAATGCGTGCCAGTAGTAAGGCGAGTCTGGGCGGAACTGAAGCAGGCCAAAGGACGCGACAAGGTCCCCGACAATCTGGTCTAACGAGTCGATGCCTGTGAAGCGGTCGAGTAACGGGACAGTGACGCCATTGGACTGGTAACGCGACGCTTCGCGCATGCGTCTGATTACCGGCGCAATGGTCGAGACGCCCAGGAGGGATGGGACGATGAGAAGCGACCACAGGAGAATTGGCACGGCTTCGAGGCGACGGTTTCCATTTGGAGGCGGAATGGCAACTGGCTTGGGCGCCATTGTGTCGCTGAGTCGATGGAGGTTGTCTGGAGGTATCGCGGCGTGGATGAAGCAGCCAAGTCCAGTCGGGATCAGTCAGGGGTGATTGATGGGCGCTTGTACGACAGAATCAATTGATGCCTCCAGACGCCGACAGCATCGCGCGGCCTCTTTCAGACTCACTCTGGGCGCCATTACCCGGTAAGCATTTCTATCGTTTCGTCATTTCTTGCATTAATAAAAAACCATTGTAGGGGCGAGCAGATTTTTATTTAGATCAATGAGGACACATTTCCTATATAGGGTAGCCAATTGGACCAACCAGCCACGCGTGTGCCTCGTGCATCACGAAGGTTAGGGTTACCTGTCATCATGGCAGAGCAAAGACGGAGACAATAGCGGTCGCACGAGAGAGACCAAATGTCAAACTTGTCCACATTCCCAAGTGATTGCTTCACTGTCTTTTCTGCGACCTTGCTCCGCCGTTTGCTGTTCAATCATGCACACAGCCACTCCATCGTCGTAGTCAGGTGACGTCACACCCAACCTTGGCGTGGAGCTGCAAGCCCGCGTTCCAACATCTGAAATATTGCGCAACTTTCAAGGTCAGACCTTGGCCCAGATCGGGTGACTACATTTTGTACATTGTATACTGCCGCAACATGTCCTGGAAGGATAAGCTCAAGGGCCTCAAGGCCGACTTTGAGAGCATGATCCATCCCAGAGATCAGGCTCAGGATCAGCAACCGCCTCCACCACCGATGGCTTCCAGGCCGCCGCCAGGTCCCAGCCCGAGCTTCCACACTTATTGGGTTCCGAGATTCTACCCGGACACGCCTGTCCATGTGGAATGGGACGCGAAGCTGGGCAACGGGCCTGACGGTTGGGGAAACCAGGAGCTGGAACACTACACCGCTGCTCCCGAGAATTCGTTCCAGTACGATCATCTCACCTCCCCTCTCACCTCACGGAGCTGGACACTTGTGATGAATGATCATGGCTAACCCTTGACGTGTAGCACCCCAAACGGGCAGCTGGTCATTCGAGCTCTGGCAAACAATTCCTCACCCAGCCCCGAGCAGAAATATACCTCGGCCCGCCTGGTGAGCAGGCATACCCTCGAGCGAGACCAAGGTGTCCTCACTGCCGTCATCACGTCCCCCTGCGCAGAGGGCATCTGGCCTGCATTCTGGCTGCTGCCCCAAGAGCCGTTCAGCTGGCCCGTAGATGGAGAAATCGACATTGCAGAGACGTGGAACGGCGACCACGAGAACAGGACATGCCTCCACTGGGGACAGCACCACGAGGCTGACAAGCATCGTGTTCTGGGGACAAAGATCCCCGATATGCATGCTCGACCCGTTCGCTACGACTTTGCATGGCAGCAGCCGGGTGGTCAGCCAGGACAAGGGAGAATGATTTGGTACATTGATGGTAGGCCTGTCATGAAGGCGCCCATACCAGAGGGGACGCGGCCGATGAGGGAAATGACCATCTTGTTGAATGTAGCCATGGGCGGGAATGTGTGTGCCGGGAAGACACCGGCCGACGGCTACTATGACATGGTTGTTTACACCATGTACTTGGCCAGTGAGCTGGAACATGGTGGTTGGGAACGCTTCGAGTCGGACTGGGGAAGTGCGCCATCTGGAAATACCTACTAGCTTTGACGGACAAACAAGACCGCTTTATTCAGGAGATTTAACAGGAGGAGAGCTTCTTTTTTTGTTGTTGATGAGAGTGGTATCCCATGCACAAGAAGCCTACATGAGACAGCATCCCGCAGCGTCTCCGCTCCCCTTGGATGCCTCAATCCACGTTGACTCCCTCGTACGCAAACTGCATCTCGTCGACGTGTAACTCGGGTTCTTGCGCAAACACGGGGAAGAGGCGTAGGTTTCCGAGCCGTAGACTAGTCGTCTCGACGCCCTTGACGAAGAGAGGATCTGGGTCCGGGCCGTAGACCCGTTTCGAGATGTCTATTATTGCCGGTGACAACTTGAGCGTCGGCTCGGAGATGCTTGCCAGCACCTGGGACACATGTCAGCTCTCTCCTAGGCTGGCCGTCTCTGGATTCGTGAGGGATGCTCGCAACGCCTTCATCCCGCTGCCGTAGTCGGCCAAGGCTTGCACGGCGACCTTGCCGCTTCGAGCGCTGGCCATTGCTCCCGTAAGGGCCCTGGCACATAGATGGAGAGCTTTGTTTCGTCCTAGAAACCCGCGGTTGTCGTGACGGTTGGTTGGAACTTGAATCGTTGTTTGCCAGAGCCGACACAGGGGATCGTCAAGCGGGCACATCTGGAGCATGAAGCAGCATGACTGCACACTTGCGTTAGTGTGGCCGATGACTCTCAAAACACATTGTTCCATGCCGTGTCTTGTAGGATCGTGTATCCTGTCGCATGACGAATTTGACCTGTGCAGACCAAGACCAGACCACGTCCACGCATCAACAACGTCGTGTGGTCCATCAAAGCCTGCCATCCGCAGACCAGACTCGTCTGATGCGCTACATCCATTCAATCTTGTCTGGTCGCTTTGATGCCCGCCATACTGCACCTACAGTCCCCTTCTAGCCCCCCGGTCGTCGGCACCAGCCAGGACCGGCCAAGATCCGTCGCCTTGGATCTTATCCCAGACCGAGCCAAAAGTTGGCGAGTGTTGCACACATCCGTCTCAGATGCTGATGACGACACTGTAGTGCCGCACAACAATGGCTTCGTCTGCACAGTGCTTCGTGCCTGGCAGCAAGATCAACACCTCGAGCTACGGCCCGACGACGTGTGGCTTTCTGTGCTGACGCAGTTCAGCTTCTATCTAAACGGCGAGAATCGTTCTGAAGCCCTGCGTGACCGCTTCGTCAACCACGCGGGGCGCCGACGCCTTGAGATTGCCTATCCGCATTGCCAGACAGTGGAACAAGTCGATGTGCCTGCCATGACGCAGCGATTCGTCGACATGATTCGCGAGCATCTGGTCGATGATACTTTGGCCGACTGGCTACTCCCCGTCTTCAGTACCACGCTGCCCAGGGACAAAACTGTAGCCGCAGCCGCCTTCCTCGGCACCATGAGCGAATACTTTGGCTACGCTGCTATTTTGGGTTGCAGCTTTCCTTCCGTCACACTGCACGGCGAGCGTGAGGACTGGGTGGACCTGCTGGGGCGCATGGCCCGGCTCGCCGAGTTTGATACTGCTGGCGACCACATGGACAACGAGAGCAATGGGGCTGATTCGGAGTCCCGGTGCCGTCCCATGGTGCAGTGGTCTCGTGCCCTCACCGTCGTCGTCGAGTTCATGGTCGCTAGCTTCGACCGGCCGAACGACGAGCGTGTACACGACTTTTGGAGACGAGCCTGCCACTCAGTCGGCAGTGAAGCTTCTGGTGAGCCCAGCACCATGTCCGGCTGGCTGACGGCCTTTTGCTGGTGGCGCGCCGACGGCGCCGCCCAAAGGGCGTACAGCGACTCGGAGCTCGCTGAGCTGGAGCAACTGCGAGGCCATGGCCCGAGACTCAAGCTCGGCGGTGTCGAATTCCCCATTATTAACCAGGAAGAGATTCCATCTGCGTATACTGAGGCCAGCATAACCTTCCACCTCGCGGATGGGAAGAAGCTGGCTACCGTACTCACCGCAGGATCCAAGGGCGCCAGGTTGCTGGACAAGCAAGGCAGCGCCGTGCAACTCTTTTCCTGCTGGTGGCTGTTGACGCATGAGAAGAAAGGTCTTTGGCGAATTTCTCAACGGGAACCACTGGTAGTAAAACGAAAAGGTGCCAGGGCCGGAGACAAAAGACCCTGAGAAACGGTAAGCGTACAACCAAGCCAACAGCGGAAGATTACCTTGGATGAGGAGTAGTATAAAAAGCAAGAAGTATAATAATTATAGCGGGTAAAGATATTAGTGGTATCTTGACTCGGCGATGGAAAATAGTGAATAAACAGGAACATGAGGCGCATTCGGGTTTCCCATGAATAACTCTTTGTGAACTGCAAAGCGTTACTATTCATTGCTCTTGGAGATCGTCTTCCTCCGTAAGGACTGGCCAGGGCCTGGTTCAACGGCACGCCCATTGTACGAGGACAAATTTCTGCTTGGCTGGCGTGAACTTGATCTAGGCCATTAACCTGGAATGCCATTACAGTAACTCATAAGACCTGGTTTCATTCAGGTACAACTGTGGTGCTGTCTTAATTCTACTGCCTCCCGTTGCACCGTTGAGAAACAGCGCAGCAGTCAAGCGCCTCAAACCCCGAGCACCAATTACCATATTGCTTTGACTCTGCTCGCAAAACGGGTAGCAGTAGCACGCTGCAACGTATCATTAAGCCATCGGCTTCTGAGACAACCCGAAATTATTTACGCCCCGAGCCCATGTGGTCGCTTACCATGTAACAAGCACATTGGTTTCCGCGAGCGAGGAGCAAAGTAGACTGGAGCGATTGATGGGAATAAAGTCGCCAACGAGCAGGCAATTTAACTTGACTCTATGATGAATTGCCTTGCGAGTCACAATCGCGTGGATACAGGCGCCAAGCAGACTCCATGTGAGCCTCGAGCTCGGACAACGCAGCCAGCCAAAATGCTTCGCCCCATGAAAAGAATGCCCACATATTTGCGCAAATAAAAATGAAACTTCATCATCTTATATAGTGGTTGCATATACATATCTTCTTTGACGAAAAATCCATCTAATTATCATGTGTGCCATGGGTTATCAGCAATGGCGTGCAAAGGAACGCTCAGCGTTCCTTTTGTCGCGACGTTGAATCCGAGTTTAGAAAGACGTGAGACAAAGGTTTCACGAACACGCCTAGGACAGATTATTATAGAATGCCCACCCCGAGTGACATGGAAAGGAGTGTTTACAACCATGGATCACAAATTCCGTCACACTCGGGCATGGTGAATGGTAATTTTCTGATGGAAGTCGGGCAGCTTCTATTTGCTTTATATTTGCGCCTAGTGATTTCCAGACCCTGTAGTATCATTTGCGTTGACGAGCCGAGCCCGATTGTTCATTTTATACAATGCTATCAGTCGCCTTTCTTGCCGCCGTGATCATGGCATTCTCATCCGCCGTCGACTCGGCTGCACCTCGCGTGTAAGTGTTTCGTACAGCCCCCAAGTCGCGCTCTCTTGGAAAATTACCTGTTGCCAACTGACATTAGCAAGACGCCCATGGAAAAGCGCGGCCTTGATTGCGACACGCTGGTATACGGCCTCACCGAAAAAGACTGTGAGCACATGTCAAGTATTGGCATGGCGGCCCAAGGGCTAAACGCTGAGTCCCAGTCCGAGGCCAACATCTGGATAGGTGACGATGGCCCCAACACGATTACTTTCACCAACGTGGGCGACGAGCCCGTGACGGTTATTGTTTGGCACTTCCCTATAGGCGACTACGAAGCCAGCTTCGTGCAACAACGGACACCCGAGGTCTCGTACTCGCTGCCAGAACAGGGCGACCAGGTGACTGTGTCCATGGAGAATGGCGTATCTGGCGGCTGGTCTGCTCTCGTTGACCACGAGACTGGGCTTACTCCATACGGCCAAATCGACAACACCTGGGGCGAGTTTACAAGTGGGCGCCATGCCACGGTCAACATATCTCGCGAGGTCAACATGTCGGGGTCTCCCATGAGTGCTTACACCGAGGGAGGGTGCATAACCGACATGGATACGTGTGTATTTCTTTGTAAGTACGGCGACACGTGCTGGGAGTCGGGCTCCTATGTGCTTGAGGAATGCGAGGCGGGCAGCCAGCCGGGAGCCAATTTTGGACTGAATGGCAGGGGTGATCCCGAAGGTGGTTGTCAGGGATGGGAGAATGGCGGGCATGTCGACGTTGATTTGGGATAGATGGCTCAAGTGCCCGGTACTCCGTACGCAGGCCGGTTCTCAGCACGCCCTGTTTGTACATGAGCCGTGGCTCAAAGTCTTGTTTGGTACATAGTGACGAATTTGGACAAGAGGTAGTAAAGTACATTATTCAGGGGGCACGTGTACAGTGCCGTTTGTATTTCCAAAGCCATCAGTAGCTGGAAAACCACAAGTTCATATCTATCTGTTGATTCTGCATGTCCCAGCACGACGAAAGACTGTCAATCGTGTCTGGAAACAACAAGTCGTCGATGGAGCTGTTTTGGCTGCCGCTCTGCGAAAGGGGACTGCGTTGAGAGCTGCTGACGCCCGAGGACGTATCGCTCGGCAAGACGACGCTTCGTGGTACGGCAGACGCCCCCAGGCCCAGCACCTCACGGGCAATGGCTTGTATTTCCTTGACGGTCCTGGCTCCCTGCGGCCAAACCTCGCCCAGGGATTTGAGACAGCCGATGGTCAGCCGGATCTGCTCGCGGGCAATCGACAGCTTGGCGCCGGTGAAGAGGAATTTGCAGGCCGACAGGAACGGAATCGTCCCCGTGGTCACCATGCACAGCGTGAATGGGCTGTGGCAAAACGGGCGCTTGGGGAGCGTCATGATCCTGACCTGGGCTTCAATAGACGCCAGACATCTCATTGTGTGAATGGCTGTCGTGTCGCTGACTGAATGGGACTCTGGCGGGCACACGAAGCAACTTGAGATCTTCTCCAGCGGATCGAATAGCAGGTTCGAGTAAGGGCGGTGAAGTCCTACCATGTAACTTTGAAGAGAGGGAACAAGTGTTAGCCAAGTCCAAATGCAAGTTGAGCGCAAAGGGAGCCGTCGGGAGACGGGATGCATACGCATGGATACTCATGTGGGCATAAAAGAGCAACTCGTCCATCTCGCCGGTCTTGGACATCAGAGGCCTCTTGCACTCTGGCAATAGCAGCAACCACCCGTCTATCATGGCATCCACTGCCTCTACAAGCTCAATTGGAGGCGAGGTTTTCCTGTCCGGCGGTGTTGCCGCCATTATTTGAGCGACACCTCTCGTTGCACCTATGAGATATGCGAATGATGAATAGACATGGTTGTCTGAGGCAAACTCTCTCGAATCAAAATCGGCGAGTGAGTCCGGGGTTGGGATTACCTATGAAGCGTTAGTCTGTAGACTCTGATAGACAGCCATGTGCAACGGATTCAAGGCCACGTACTCCCGCGTTGTATTCTTGTTCCTCACATGGTAAATCCGCCGTCGCCGGAATGTCTCTGGTACGAAATTCCGTGTCGCGTCTGATGGCTGCATAGTGCGAATCCACAATGTATAGTTGCCACCAGGTTCTCCTCCAGCTCTCTGCTAAAACAGCATCCCCGTCGCTGTGCGCGTCGGCGAATTCCTGGCGAGACATTCCCAATAGTGTCGCAGCATCTATGGCATCATCAAGGTGTGTTTGAGACTGAGGTCGGTCACTGGACCAGAATAAAACGATGGAGTAGAGGAGCTGCGCCTGGCATAAAAAGGGGCATGGCGATGAAGCAGCTCTTGCGTCGGCAATGTCGCTGGCTGCCTTTGCGGCTAGTTGACCGCTTTGATCTGAACGAGCATACAGTGATCCGATGTAGCGAATCCCCGAAACCACAGGTTTGATTCTTTCCGACTTGGTGGCATCTCTTGAGTAGACTTGTAGGCGATGCCGTGGGAGGACCAAGGGATGAAAGGTGTGAAAGCACTTGTAGTACAAGTCTATGAAGGGGTCAGATTCGAGGTCCGAATCAAACAAGGTCGAAGCATCAACCAGGTTTGCGCGCGGGGAGTCCTGACAAGAGGCATCGAAGAAGGAAGCACTCGCGTCAGGGAAACACTCTGGAAAGACAGGTATCGATGAGCCTGAACCTAGAGGAAGAGGTTGCTGCAGATCTGCTGCGACTCTGCCCGGGTCATGCTGCGGGCTCGTTGACGACTGCTTTGCCAACCGCTCTCTCCTGGCAGCCAAGGCGGCTCTGTCGAGGCCTCCCCGTCGTGACTTTGCGTAGTTGCATTCCTTGCCGTCTTCTTCGCATCGCTTGCAAATGGGTTTTGTGGCATCACAACGAATATGTCGTGTCCGGCATGGGAGGCAGGCCACCGAAACCCGCGACGCTCCGACCTTTGCGGTCGCCGACTTGGCTTCGGGCTGCTGCTGCCCACTGGGTGTCATCCTTGCTACTTGGTGCTGCTGGCTTTACCGGTAGCCGGAACATGGCGTGCCAATTTCTCGCAAAGGTCGTCTCTTGGTTGGCAAAGACGGAGGAGACGTGGAGGGCTAAGTGTGGTGCGGCAGGTCGAAAGCGGGTATCCGGGTATTCGATCAGCGGAGCGGGAACCCGTTTAACCATTTGATGGCATTTTATGGAGTCTGGTTGGTGCAACCTGGTGGCTTTGGGCTTGTGTCGTTTGCAACTCTAGCATGAGCGGCTGAGACGGGAAACCAACTAGTAGTCAATACATGTATTGTCAGCACAAAGACACGACATGGACCCACCAAAGCCACTATCCCTTTGAATGTGCGCAGGTCCAATTGGGGTAGCGGGCCAGGGTTCCGGCTAATGATAAATGCTGATAAAAAAGATACATAAATATACTAGGAAGTTATATAGGAAACCAGGTACCTCATTTTTTAAGATATAAATAAATACAAAATATTATCAGCTATTTACCTGTATCAGAGAGTATCTTCATGTATCATAAAGAAGTGGGTCAAATACATCAATTGGACCTGCGCACATTCAAAGGGATAACCTACTTCAGAGTTCCATGTTCAGCTTAGAAGTCTGGTGTGACTGCCGAGGTGGTTCCGGGTGAGCCTTTGCGACGGGAATCCGCGTCGTGGATATCACGTTGGTGTGTCTTGACCAAATCCTCGACCACGAGGTTGGCAAAACGCAGAATTGGCCACCACCGGGTGAATGGATATCCATCAACTGAACAACGTGCCAAGGGACGTTGCGCTTCGGCTGTTTCGGAAGTCGCCTCATAAAGTCGAGTTGAGTGCATGGGATCCAACATGTATATAAACAGAGGCCACGTCCAAGTCAAGCAAATGAACAAGCATACGCAGAGAAATCTACCCGCCCTCGTTCGAGATACCTCTTTGACCAAAGACCAGCCACCGTCCCCGTCACCCTTCTTTCACAGCCATGTCGCAAAGAATTGTCATCATAGGCGCCGGCTTCGCTGGCATGTACAGCGCCCTCGCCGCCCGGCGACTGATTTCCCAGAATGGCAGAGACCAAGACATTGAAACCGTCGTCATCGCACCCGAGCCAACACTTGCGGTTCGGCCCCGACTTTACGAAGCAAATCCCGCCACCATGGCAGCGCCTCTTGGAGATCTCTTCACAGCGACTGGGGTGAAGTTTATTCAGGGTGTCGCAAAGACCATCGACACCAAGATGCGACAGGTTGGAGTAGTAAACACGGGAGGAGAAGCAGCCGTAGTAGATTACGACCGCCTCATTTTGGCTGCGGGAAGTCAACTGAGGGTTCCCAGTGTCGACGGGTTGAAGCAACACTCGTTCAATGTGGACCAGCTACACTCGGCAATCGCACTGGACCAACATCTTCACAGTCTACCACGGGCCCCAGATTGCCCTGCTCGCAACACTGTCATTGTGTGTGGTGGCGGCTTCACGGGCATCGAGTTGGCAGCAGAACTGCCCGCTCGACTTCGTTCCATATTGGGCCAGGACACAGAGACCAGAGTCATAGTCGTCGAACGAAACCCAACTATTGGCCCAGGCCTAGGGCCGAGCCCGCGACCCGAGATTCAGAAAGCACTGGACGGCTATGGCGTGGAACTGAAACTCGGTGTTGCTGTCACGTCTGTCGATGCCGGCGGTGTCGTAACCTCGACGGGCGAGAGGATCGAGGCCAGTACTGTGGTTTGGACTGGTGGCATGGTGGCAACCGGCTTGACACAACAAATTCCGGGGAAGAAGGACGGACTGGGCCGCCTCATGGTTGATGAGAACCTCCGCGTCGCGCAAACAAAGCATGTCTTTGCGACTGGAGATGCTGCTTGCGCCGTAACCGACGAGGACGGCCACACGGCCATGATGAGTTGCCAACATGCCCTTGTGCTTGGCCGTTCGTCGGGCCACAACGCCGCCGCCGATCTTCTTGGTCTTCCCACCCGTCCGTATAGCCAGCCGGATTACGGCACTTGCCTTGACCTCGGGCCCAATGGAGCAGTGGTGACCGCCGGTTGGGATCGTCAGGTCGTCTTCACGGGCAGCCAGGCCAAGTCGGTCAAGCAGTTCATTAACACGACTCTCATCTATCCCCCTCCAGCAGATGCAAAAGAGGCCTTTGCAGTTGCGGATCCGGATTACAAGTTGCCCAATTTGGAACCGCCACCTGTGCCGGTTGCTGTCAAGGTATGAAGCGTTGGTGCACGTGGCATGGGGACCAGAGTAGTCTAGATTGTCCTCAAGATTTAATTGCTCTCATATAAATACACCTTTCCCAAGCCTTGATGTGTCGCTAGAATGATGATGTACATTGTCCCGCCGCTGATCTCGACATCTACAAACGCTCAAAACCCAACGTCAATGTTGTAGCCATCAGGGAGCTTTTGGGAAGAAAACTTGACTCTGCCCACGCACTGGCCATACTCGTACGGCCTGCCCATGGTACCATTTCCAACACCAGGCGTGTTAGACCAGGGGTCATACATGGTGACCTCGGTCTTGGGTAATTGTGAACAATCAGGGCCACCGACGTTCCAAGGGTAGTATTCCACGAAACCGACCTGACGGGGCTGAATGCCGCCGGCTCCGTACGGCAAGGTGTAGGTTCCGACGCGAGTCCGGTTTCCAGTGACGGTGTTCACCACGGTCCCAGTCCAAGTGGTGCCATGGTTATTCTCAATAACCAAGAGGTAGGTGTGGCTGTAATCGCCGGTAACCTGGACCGAGCAGCTCACACCGGGGCCGCCATCAGCACCATCGTGGCAGTTTTCATCGTTGATGTCGGCAGTAGTGCCTTCCTGGAAGGACGAAAAAACGGCGTGTACGATGCTTTTCCCGTTGTCGTCGGGTCGGTTCTGGATGCCGCAGTAACCAACATCTGGGACATTATGAAAGTTGAATTGCTGGGCGAAATAATAACCAGAGTCGTGAGAGGCTCCAGCCATGTTAAATGGGAAAGTGATGTCTCTTAACCCATCACTTGACCCGTCCCAGGGTCTGCCAGGAAAAGACCAGTCGTTGCCCACAAGGGCGAGGCCAAGCTGGGGGGCGAAAGCGGCGACGGTGGTCAACGAGCACTTCATTTTGGAGTCACTGACGAGTCACAGTTGTCATGTAGAGAATGTGGTTGAATGAAAAGTTCAGACGAAAACGAGAATCGTCTTCGCATGGCCCATCTGACCTTTAATACTTGCTTCTGCTAAACCTCCCCGCGCCGCCAGGCTCATCGGCCCATCGCCATTGAGATCAATGTACCCGCTGTTACAGAAGCTCGGGATCTCGTACGGCTTCATGGCACAAGAAGAGAAGCGCATTTTCTTTGCCTGAAACGCTGCGTGGATATCCTCATTTAAAATGCCGCACAAGGTACGGAGTCCTCGTGGCGGAGTCGTTGACTTGCACTATCGCGTACGTTTCATATCGAATGGAAGAAAGGGTGCATATCCCCGATTAGTATCTACAGTACAATTCAATGGCCGACAAGCTCCTTTTGGAAGGTCACCCCTGATTGCCAAGCGGGTAATGTTCAAACTAGGCCGTCATTAATACGAGTAAATGGGTTCGTCCCACATGGCAGGGAGTTCATGGTGAGACCAGCTCAACCGCTCCATGCATGGGCCCCCCGGGCAGACCATGGTTTGCAAGCTGTCCTGGAATCAAACCACTGATTTGCCCGCTGTGACTACCCTTGGCGTAATCAGTTAGATATCGCCGTCTTCTTCCCGTAATTTCGGACAACCATGAAACGAGTTGACGCTACCGAGATTGGGCGAATGAAGTGTAACAAGTTCAACTGCGGGCCAATCAATTACTGAGAAACACAGAAGCAACTACAAAGGCTAGGCTAGGTATCTTTAAAACGACCAACTTCAAGACCTCAAAGAAACACGGGGCCTCCTCGCCTATGTCACTCAAGACCATGAGAGGGCGCTGGAAAATGCAGACAAGAATAATTCGGTCCCTACGAAGTTTGTCTGTCTTGGCGTCTGGCTCCGATTAAAGTTTGTTCAAAGCAAACTTCATTCTCGTCTTACTCATATGACAAAGTCTATATGCTTCAAATATCTTGTGTATTTCTCACTTCGCTCAAACCCCCGTCGCGCCTCCACCACATCTCGTGGTCGCTGCGCGAAGAATTCAATTTCTTTTTCCCTGGCTTGCGACTCCTTCCCCAAGATGTCACTTCTGAAAGAGTCTAGAACAGTATGCAACCCCCCCCCCCCCCCCCCCCGGGCTAACGAACCAGGTGGGCTTTGCGGAACGCGTTTGACGTGTGGTTAGCCACTCTCTTGAACATTTTCTTTTGAAGCAGAGTGCATACGCTGTTGTGCTTACTCTTCTCTTCCAGCAGGGTAACAAAATGTTTGCATAACTTATCCCTGGCAAGTTGTAAATGTATATACCCATGGATGGCTGAGAGAGCAGGCTTCTCGGAATGGTACTAGCAAACTCTCAGTCGATTATTCCTTGCCATGATATGGCCGAACAACAACTTGACGAAGGACTCCTCTTGCCCGAGTAACGTTTTGAAGATTGGACACACAACCCCGGACGGAGCATCACCAGTAATCATGCGCTACATGTAGCTGTCGATAAGCTCCTGGAGTGATTAAGTGGTGTGTGGCGGCATCTGCAAAAATTGTTTACGTTACTAAAAACCTTGCATCAACAGCAACAGCACCAGCAACAGCAATACCAGCAGCAACACCAGCAGCAGCAACATCAACATCAACAAGTCCGATGTAAGTCATTTGTACCTACCACTACTCTTGATCCCTCCCTATTCCCCGGCAGACAGGCACTGACACAAGCAATCCTTGATCCTAGGTCCCGCCCCCTCTCCCCCCGCGTAAAGAGGCTGATCCTCTTCAAAAGAGGTTTTGATATCCTCCTCCGGGAGGCGGACTAGGATTCCGCGGCCGAAGCGCGCGCGGCCGCCGCGTCCCTCGAAGGGTGGCGCCGCGCCACCCATACCCAAATCGACGTCTGGCGGGCGCACCAACGCGCGGACAAGGCCGCCGCCGGGCCTGGTTGTTGGTTGCCCAGTATTTTTTATAACTGATAGGTCCATACATTTCTTTGTTTCAATCATGCCATGTCTCTAGCCGCGGCTTATCTGTGTGGATATCGGTTATTTCGCCGAATTTGGTTCGTAGTCATGCAGACTAATACAGAGCTCTCAGTAGAGGCTCTCGTTACGGATAGCAGGTCTAATAGGAACGCGAACTAGCCACTTTGAGACAGCTATTTGTGAAACTACGTCGGCATTGCACATGTGACCTCGCTTTTGGTGAGGATGTAACACCAGCGCTGGCTCAAGCCTGCGATGGAGAATTACTCGGCGGGCTTACTCTTTTTGCTAGGTGCGCTTATCCCCTACTACCTAGCTAAGGCCAGGTAATTACTATATACAAGCTTTTCTTTTAAATACTTAATAGCTTATAAAAATATAGTATATATTATTTTATCTTAAAGTATATACTAATATATTATTTTATTTTAAAGTATATATTAATATATTTTTTTATCTTAAAGTATATAATAATATATTATAATATAAAGCCTATTACTTAGGCATCTCTTAGGGCGTAAGCCCACCTAGCAAAGAGCAAGCCAGCCGAGCAATTTACCTTTAATATAACCGAAGGCTCTGGTTATTTCCGGATAAGCCCTGCTGGGCGTCGAGTGTCAGGGTTCCTTCTACTACTGGGAAGAACTTCGCTCTACGATACGTCTGATAATTGATTAGATAACCGCGTAGCAATTGAGTAAGAGATTTCCTGTGAAGAGGTAATGACAGACTGTTGAATTACTATATAAAGGAGTCATCTTGTAAGAAAATTAAACATCTCAGTGTTCTGCTGCTTTATAAGCAGCAGTAAGCTAATTCCCATTGCGTCTTAATAATAGCTTCCTGTCCTCGCTTGAAACGAGCGACGTAATCTTGATAAAACCGGTCCCAGCGGATCTGCAATAGCAAGCCACTGATAAGATTGTCAGAGATTGTAGGAAGTATCGACGACATGTTGTTCTAGACCGTGACTGTAAATCCGTCGCATAGGTTCGTAGGGGTAGATTCGCAAATCCCTTCGTCTGTAAGGACGCTGAAGCTAGTGCAATCTCCGAACCAGTTTGAACACTCGAAGCGCAACTTGAACTTGATCATTTTGCTCGCATCAGCCGGATCTGTTTCTTTCCAACCTGCGACGCATCGAGTCTTGGAGCCGATTGGGTCGTTGGAAGAAATCCAGCACCGACAGCTGACATCCGAAATGGGCTGAAAGTCGCTGCCGGGGGGCGCTTGATAGAGACCGAGAGGTCTAGCTGAGCATCGGCCAACAGGCGTGCCTTCTGTGAATGAATGTGGTTTGGACCAAGTCCCGTCGACATAAAGCTCGTTGCCACGTCCACCTCCCATAGCGTAGTATTTGGCATGCGACTGCCAATTGGAGTCACGCTTAACCACATCATTATTGTCCTCGACTTGAATAAATAGACTATTAGAAAGGATCGGGACTTGTGAGATTCTCGCCTCATTGGCGTCATGCTTACCTGCGGGTGCGGCCGTTGCTCCAACAGCAAGCAAGCCTGCCAGAATCATCTTTTGGAACGTGAATTGCATGATGAATGAGGGATCGAGAGTGTAGGCTCAAGAGGGAGGTCAAGTGTAAGTATGTGGCAAGATTGGATTGAACTTTGATGTTGTCACTGGTTGAGGTGAGAAATCGACAACGACGGCGGAAGGTCAGTCAATATATATGTATTCTGCTCCTATGGTACTGACCCGTAACCTCGGCTGGAACACCGGCTTGAGAGATAGGCAGTCAATAAGCAGGGTTACTCTTTGGCTGCGCGGCCCCTACACTTACACAGTGTGATGGGATGAGCTATTGACTTGGCTTGGTCGCTCGTCTCCGTCCCGAGTTCCGACCTCGCAGGCAGACGTTCCGCACAGTAAAGAAACCTCCTTGGCAACAAAGAAGTGCCTGAGTCGGAATTCGTCTCTGAGTCCTCGTGAAAAGGGCTCGATTCAATAGTAATCTCGTATTGGGCTTCACGATCTGTTGGGCCTTTTCCGTGTAACAGTCCTTGACTACTTGCTCATGAGACAGACTTGTGCTTCTGTACTTTGCATGACCGTCGTCGTGAACTAGTACGTATTATACACAGAAAGCCACCAGTGTCTCCTTGTCCGGCTGCCCATAAAAAAATGTCGCAGACTTACAGCCCGGTTTGCGCGTTGTAATGCATATTGTAGGCTCGGCACATCAGTTTCCTGCATTCAATTCTGACAGTCAGAACGAGTGAATGAGCGCAATCCACGTGCTTGTTATAAACCAATATACAGTATATGATTGTATAGCAACCCTGGGGGATTGTTTGTATGTAGCCGCCCGGTTACGGCTGTACATGCGACCTAACCGCAACGATGCCGATCCTGTGTCTCGGCATTATGCAAATGCTGTGTAGACCAATTGCGGCAGTGACACCAGCAGATAGTCCTATATTAACTCGTGATTTTAACTTCAACTATTACCAATAAATAAACTCACTAATGTCTTGTCACTAAGCGAAACATGTGCCCAAGCTTCGCATTTGCACCCTCCCCGGTTCGTCCCATTTCCGACTGTACCATCCATGTCTAGTGTATTATGCAGTAATGCGCAGACTTGGTGGCCAAGACACATTCTTGTTTCTTTGGACCCGGAGCCTACCATGGCTGAGAGCCCTTGGCGACCCAACTAGCCATCCTATTTGTGGACGGCTCGTATTGGGAACTACTATGTCTGTCTTGACTTGACCTTCCACATTTCGATCCCCAACTTGCCAAGGCTTCGGCTATACCAGACTCCTTCAGCGCGTCTGGGGATTGGGATCCGCGCACTCGGTAGTTGCGCCCACAGTCCACCCCCTGGCTGTTAGACGTCAACTGGTGGAGACAAGCCCTTTTTAATCCATCCCTTATTGCCTTGGCTAAGGCAGGGTAGCTTGAGTTATTATTTACTATCGGACGGTGGCTAGCCGAAACCAGATTCGGATAAAGGAAGTTTTTAATGTATAAACAGATAGCTATAAACTCTGGGCAAATTTCTTTTTAAGAAGCTTAATAAATAATAGCCTCACAACATGACACCAGCATGTCTACTAGGCAGTGAATAAAGAAGGTCAGCAAAAAAGGCAAGACAGTTGGCCATAATAATATCTGAATAACAGGTAGCAATAGTATTCTAAAACTATTAAAACACCTGATGTTTCTGCTATCTGCCGAAGTATAAGAGAGACACAAGGATAAAAAATTATCAGGGAGGCTTAGTTCATAATAAACCTTATAATATGACAGTTAGGACATGCGGCTAAACTCGAGACCCACAAAGCGAGACAGCCTTGCATCGTCATAGCCGGCAGCTTCACCCAATAATTTAGGCTCTTATTTGCCCTCGACCGACTAAGACTTACGGGCGTTACAACCGCAGCTCTTGCCGGCCGGTTGCTTTTTGACCGGCCCTTGGACGACTGTACCGCCGATTGTATTCTCTCGATACCAGTTTTCTTTCGGATCGCCTAGACACTCCCCGACTGTCATTGCTAAACCGATATTAGTATAGATTTAACTCTTATATAGGGCGGGATATATATAGGACGTGTGCGTACATTTTCTTCCGCTTTTCTGCAAGAAAGGGATAACATTGGGTATTAACTGGTTGACTGTCGTGTTGTGTACATCGTGCATTAGGGAAATAGATCCATTGACAAATAATTCCTGGAAGTTTTTAAACGACTCGTCATTAGTCTCGGGCTTCGTGTTCTCAAAGTCCTTGGTATCGATATCGGCGTTAATAACGTGGTACTGCATTTCTCCCAAAATTCTCAGGACTTCATCTGAGGTGTGGAAAAATGGCGGTCGCATATATGTCGGCGTCTTCCCGATAAGTTTCTTTACTTCGGCATCAAGTAATGTCATCTCTGTCCTTATTTCTGCCTCGCTAATATTTGTCAAGTCCGGATGCCGAAACCTACAAGCTTTTTAATACCTCCTGTCTATATATAGAGGCCACCCTGGGGTTGCCATAGCAAGCGTAATACATACGTATGTGAACCAATCTGATGCCCTTCGCTTAACATTCGCTGCACCTCTGTTTTTCTATCCGATATTTTGCCAAAGTTGTCGCCGTTAACAAAGAAAGTAGCCTTCATGTTGGCATTTTTCAATGAGTCAAGGAGCGTCGTGGTGAACTGGAAAGGCCCGTCGTCAAAAGAAAGGGCAAAAGAGTTTTTCGTAGTACAGCTTGTAATAATTTTGCCAAAGGGAATTTGTGTGGCTGACCCTAGCTTTTGTCCGGAACAGTTAGTCGCGGCCTGCGCGACAGCTGCTACCATGTGGAGCAAAGCAGTAAAAAGCAAGGAATTCAGCATCTTATAATAGTTGAGCGGTTTTAGTAAAGGCTTCCAGCGCTGTTCTTTGTATTGAGTTATTGTTCTGGGCTTGAATGCCGAAGCACGATATCTTATATATCTCTTAAACTGTATATACCTGATACCCCCCGCTAGGTAGTCCCTCCCAGCTCTATTGTAGCGGGACACCAACTCTAATTTGTCATTGGTAGATCCGAGATTCCGGCAAAGCAGACTGGGACTACCCCTTTATAAAATGGGAGTTAAAACGTGCCAAGTCTCTAGACGTGTTATGCGATAAGAATACAGCTATTATACTTGCTTTAATACCGTTAAAAGTTGAATCCCTTTATAATGCGGGAGTTGAAACGTGCTAGGTTTCTAGACGTGTTATATAATAAGGATACAGCTATTATACTTATTTTAATGCTGTTAAAAGTCATGCCCCTTTATAATACGAGAGTTAAAACGCGCTAGGTCTCTAGATGTGTCATGCAATAAGGATGAGGTTATTATACTTGTTTTAATGCTGTTAACAGTCATGACTCTTTATAATACAAGAGCTGAAACGCGCTAGAACTCTAGGCGTGTCATACAATAAGGATACGGCTATTACACCTGTCTTAATGCCGTTAAAAGTCAGCCACAGCGCAGAATAGGCCGTTTGAGATTAAGTAATAAGGGAAGCACGGTTTGAGGTCAAGTTGGCAGTCCCCTGTATCGGTTTGGAGCTACGCATAACATTAAGCATATTCGTAATCTATTAGTAGATCAGGCAGTTTCAAATGTTATCTGGCACTAGCTCCACATTCCTAGCATTTGACCCAACAGTCTGGTAGCTGTAACTGCTCAGGCTACACTTGACTTGCCCGCGCTAGCAGCCAGGGTGCCAGCGGCAGTGCAAGCCGGGCTATCTTCAGGCTCGGCTCGTTACGCTTCTGAGCCGTTAACAGGCAATTTCACGTTAGCAGAAGCTGCTGCGAGCCAGGGGTTCTTCGGAAGCTCTGACTCGAGCTATTGTCGGAATATCAGGAAACCGATCAGCCCGTCTCATCTCAGCCTATTTGTGCTTGAATTGCAGCCGGCGATGTACAAAGCATAAGATTTCCCCTTACCGGCGTTGGAAGTGCTAGGAGCTGAGCGCGGTGGGGCTCGGCTTGCACTCTCGCCTTCGGCCGCGGCCTGCCGGCCGGGACCTATTGACAAGTGAGATAAACGATGCGTCGGGCCCAGGAGCCCAGGAGCTCAAGACCTTTTTTTTTTTCGCTCTCTCTTCTCCTTTTTCTCAAATATTTCGATACTCGTAATAGTTGCCTAGACAGTTGTTAATATACTTAGCTCGGACCGTTACAGTCTTTGCATTACCATCTATTGGCATCTACACTTCTGAGACTACTTTTTGTTTTCCCGCTAAATAGTCATAATAGCCGACGCAGTGATGACCAGCAATTACACCAAGCCCTGCGATTTCAGTCTACAGAGATGATATCCCACACTAGTACGCACGTAAGGACTGCGGACTGCCTTTGGTAATGCGCAAAAGAGAGGAAGCGCATCCCGAATGTGAATCCTCGTCGTTATCGTCCCCAGCCGTCGAGTTTTCTGGCATGACCAACCCTGGGCCTCCACCAAGTTGGACCGCCGCCGCCACGCGGCACTCCGTACTGCACAGCATTGAATGCCCAGCCTTAATCTTCAGATACGACTCGGGGTTCATTTTATTAGAAGAATGACTGGCTGTCAGCATGAAGGGTCCCTTGAAATAGAGAACAAGTGCCACCTAAGTAGTATAATGCGAGTCTATTCGCACTGTAGGTTGCCCTTCAGCTGCTTTCGGAGTTTTGCCGCAGTCTAGCCATAAACAAGCGCCCCAGGTTTATGGACGCCGAGTCCTTCGCAAGCTCTTCCAAAACACGTCACATTGATTCAATTCTCTGCGAAACGACATCAAGACTCACACTCACCAGCCCAGCAGATGGCGCCCCTTTCAATATTGCGCCCGGGATTGCGAGCAAACCATGAGCAAAGTACAACATTTCAACGATGGAATAATACAACATTCGGTGCACCGCCAGCGCGATCAGTTCGTCAATCAACTACGAAGCCGCGAGAAGGACATTCTCAAACTCGCATCGACGCAATGCGGGAAGCCGTCGGCCCGCTTCTTTCAATCGGCTGCTCTTGGTGATTACTATGCTCGGGGAAGCTACAACGTCTCATTCTTTATCCGGTTCGCCGACGGGGAGAAGTGTGTCTTCCGCGTACCGCTGCGTCCCTGTCTAGCATACTGTCCTCGCCTTAAATTGCAGTGCGAGGTCACCACGATGCGGTATGCAACCATAACCCCCTTATCCATGTCGCCGTATTTACTCATCAGAATCAGACACTTGTCAGAATGCACCACAATCCCAGTCCCAAAAGTCCTAGCCTATTGTGCCGACAGTGGCGCTGACCCTCTATCCACGTTCATGATTCTCGAATACATTGATGGAAAACTCCTCTCGCCGACCGAATTTCGTCGCCTAGCCCCTGACGCAAAAGCCGAGCTATACAAATCACTAGCAGATGTCTATATACAACTACGACGACAGGAATTCCCCTCGATTGGCAGGCTCAGGCTAGGAGCAAGTGGGGTGCGCATCAGCGAAAAGACGGCATCGCTTGAGATGAACATGATGCAACTCGAGGGCTTGGACCCCTTTGGCATTCAAGATGTTCATCACGACGAGTCTGGGTTCCTAACATCGGCCAATTCATACACAAAGATGCTGTTGAGCGTCGGGTACAACGCTTTTCTCAAGAGTCGGAATTCCGTGGCAATCGACATGGGCCTGGAATGCCTCTACAACCATTTCTTGTTCTGCAAGCACGTTCAAAAGTGGGTGGACCCTGGCCTAGATCAAGGGCCGTTTGTGCTGGTCCATGGCGACTTGCACTTGTCAAATCTATTAGTCGACCATGATGTGCGAATCATCGGCGTGCTTGATTGGGAGTGGAGTCGTGTCGTGCCAGTTCAGTATTTCGCACCGCCTCTTTGGCTTAGCGGACGAGATGCTGCCCAATTAGCCGGCCCTAATTCATGGCAGCTCTTTCTCGAGGGACCATTTGCCGAGTTTCTAGCAGTGGTTCAAAGGCGGGAAGCGGAAATGTTTGGAAACAACCTACTCTACGATGAGTGGACTCGACGGACAGAATACGCTGAACCGTTGGTCGCTAATGCTCTCGAAAATTGGACCGAAGTGGATTGGTTTGTCCATCGATACTTGGCCAGCAAGGAAGCGTCCGCCGCCCACCAAGAAACTCTGTCGGCATTTGCTGACGAGGACCCTTTGCGCTCTTTGCTCGCGGACATAAAGGAACAAGACCACCGCAGATATCGCAGAGAGCTGGGCTTGTTGAGTAATTCTGGCAACTATGGACAAGGAAACGCGAGTGACGCGGCAGTGCCGGCGACGGTTGGTAGGAGAGCTCATGTCCAATATCGTATCCCAACGGCTGCTAGCATTCTCGGTTTGACTGCAGCGGCTTCAGTTGTGATGGCTGCTGTCTGGTTGAGACTCCGGCCTAGCCCCACCCTTTAAGAAGATTAATCTCGTCCTGAATTTCAGCCTTTGCCTTTTCCAGTCTCTTCATGTTGATATCAAGTGCATCTATCTCGTCTTGCAAGCGAAGAGATGTCGATTCCTTCTCGCGTCTTGCCCTTGCTGCAGTCGATGATGACAACAGCTGAGTCTCAGTTTCGTCGGGTATTTTGTCTTTTAATTCCTGCATTTTTGCCTGTATGGTCTGGATTTGGGCCTCCATCTTCTTTCGCCGCTGAAGTTTGTCCTCGAGCTCCTCGATCCGAGCATGACTAATCTTGTTGGACATTTGTCGTGGAGAATGGAACGCTCTATAGATGCTGTGAGTCAAAATCTGCAGTTTTAAAAAGGCCGTACAACGCCACGTACTTGCCAAATGACTAGGTGCTGCGATTCTCCTTTTTTATTGCTACGTTTAGGTGGCAAAGTTCAGTCGATGCGCTGTGGAGTTTTGAGGACAACATTGCATGTTTACGCGGGGTAGTCTTACCCATGACGTACTCACCTCGGTGCAGACAAAACGCCCTCCCGACGTGAATCTGGTTGAAGACTTATCTCTTACATTCGCTGCTGCACTTTGGCTGGTATGCAAGTCAAATCAAGAACCAGAGGCAAGTTGTCACTTGGATTCAGGCAACATGTGGTGGTAGCAGGGTGCCATATATCTCTGCCCAAGTCTGCAAGTACCATGGCCCGACGATAGTCTCCTATTGCCTAGTTGAGTGGAAGAAACGTGGGTAGGAATGCGGTCTATTGCGCCGTTATTCCCTGCCTTCTATTTATTCCTATTCTGCGATTTCGTCCGAGTATGCCTCGATAGCTTGGAGGTCAGCGGGTCAAAATCATACAGCGCTCATGCATACCGCTCCTGATAGACGGACTCCCTCACCATATTTAAAAGTCATCAGCTTGGAGAAAGAAATTCCACTTCTCAACAGATTTACTCCCTAGCCGCAGAGGGCTTGGCAGAGGTCAAAGTGACAAAGCTGCATGTGGCTAGGCCAGGGGCAGCGGAGCGAGCCATGGCACCTGTTACACGGTTGGCACACAACAAAGGGCGTTGGGCCAACAAAGGTTACACAACAATAAAGGCAACGGTCACGAGGCCCAAAGTCGGTCACAGCAAGGACTGCCTCAGGCACACAGCCCTCACCGACTTCTTGTATTTATAGGGACCTTCGGTCCCTCAAGGCCTCGTGCCAATCCAAGGACCTTTGATAACCTAAAGTCGATTATTATAGATTGAATTGAACCCTCTGTTCCAAGCCCAGTTACCCTGCCCTTGTCACAGCACCACTCAAGGCCCCTCGTTTCGCCAATCATGTGGAAGTAGGTATTAAAATGTTGAGAGGGGCTTGGAACCGATTCATGAGGGTTAGCAGACAGAGAGAGACATGCATCGAATGGAAGTTGACTTCTTAGTACGTCGAGAGCAGACTGCTATCTGTCAGTTTACCGACCTTAACCCAGAGCTCGGAAAGACCTCAGGCGCCAGTGACGAGGTGTATACACAGTTGTGCCAATGGCCGTTGTGTATCATTGGCCGCAATATGCTGTGACTGGGTTGGCTCTAGGTACTCACCGTCAGCATTCTGTGCGATTGCGGAGTTGGAGGGAATCTTGGAAATACAAGATTCGCCAGCATGTCGGAGCAAAATGGTAAACTTACAGCAACCAAAGAATGCCTGGTACTCGGAAAACCAACAGAGACTGGCAAAGTGTCAAGTGTTGGCTCTCACGAATAGTCGTCAGGGGGGATTGGCACCAAACCAACATTCCAAATTACTTTATTTTAACTGGTCCTATTCGTGACTGTGTGGAGCCCTGCCAGAGAGCGGTCAAGCCCACGAGACGTCTATAAAGACCAGTTGCAAGATTCAGGAAACTGTCCGGGACCATCGACACGCCAAGTTTCTCTATTTGTTCTATACCCATCGTCCATAATGGCAAATTGTCCCGTCCGGGAATCGATCCGGGAGATAGACCAAAATTCCTGGCTTATTGGGGGCAAAATTCTCGTCTCCCGTGCGTCTCTTTCAGATTGTGACTGGCAAGATGGAAATGGCGCGGGCTTCAAGATATCCGACGCACCATCTCCTTTACCGGAGTCTCGGCCACTGTCACCCACGAGCGAAATCAAGTTGGTATACGATGCGGGAGATATCTCCGCCGTCTTTGACATGGGCGAGGCCTTTTGCAAAATAAGGATCTTGAATATCCCGGGTGTGACGAGAGAGCATGTCACGCTAGCGTGGATGCATGAGCGACGTCGTGAGCAGGAATGGAGCTTTTCCATCCCCAATGTTATTCATCACGCCGAATACGACGGTCGATACTATATTTTTCTCGAGCGGGTCCGCGGACAAACAATCAACAGCATGTGGGAAACCTTGGACGAGTCCAAGAGACAGCAGTACGCAGAGAAAGTTGGCGATATTTGCGTGGAAATGGCAAAATATACTCGGAATGGCATGATGAGCGGCGTTGATGGCAACGTACTCCCGGAACTATATCTGCGCAAGAAAGGTTCGGACTGCAGTCCCCAGAATCTGCAAGAAAGCTGTGATGATTTAAAAATGGACTGCTCGACACTCGTCTTCTACCACTGTGACCTTGGCCCGACCAACGTCCTGGTAGACGTGGATACTGATCGTATTGGCGTTATTGATTGGGAAATTGCGGGATTCGTACCCGTAGAATGGATAACAACCAAATTTTGTGTCTCCAGCGGAATGGATCTGTCAAGCGGTGACGAGATGGATTGGAGACGGAGGGTGAAGAATGACCTGGGGAAAAGGGGCTATCCTGATGTTGCAGACGAATTTATGGCGTGGATTCGTAGTGGAAAATGCAAGTAGAAGCAAGATTAAAGAGTTGATTACGTTTAAAAGTTATAGATTAAATTGAGCAGTGGACTTGGTCCTGAACTGAATCTATGTATCGAAGAAATTGAGGTCTTTTTTACAGTTCAAATCGGAAGCCATCGAAAACGGCTACCTTGCAATAGAGAAGGCCTTCATTGAAGGATTTCAGCCAACTAGTCTAGAGGGACTTGACTTCATAGATGACGATTCCCTGGTAAATTACGCAGTCAAAATACACGTAATATTAATACGCCCAGAATAAAGCTTCCAAAGAGAGGCTTAAGGTATATATAGCGTAATAACTATAACTGTATATCGTTATATATGTATCTAGAAAATTAATACTACTATAATACATAGAATAAAGACCTAGTGATAAAGCCTTATAGTTAATAAGTGTAACTAGGAGATATGCCGGAAAATTTGAGCTATTGCTAACTATTCCCCATTTACCTAGTCTGTCCGAAAAGGCTTATTTCACCCAGAACAACTATGCCTATACCACTCAAGAGTAAAACCAAGTTTCTCGGGCTCTCCTAATAAAAGCAAATCCAAAAGTCCACGCTTCTCCAGGTCCTGGCAGTATGCTCTTCCCGAAGGCAACTCTTCTGCCAGGTGATTTCGATCCATATCACGGTAGTGACTATTTGGTTCTCCGCTACCAACTACTTCAAGGTTGGTTCTCGCGCCCTTGCGACAAAGCACTAATTCACACCAGTATCTCACACTATTCCACAACCCACGAATAGCACGGCCAATAATTGCACGCCATCGAGAAATGGCAAGTATTTCCGACTTGATATTCTTTTCGACAGATCTTTCAGGGAGAAGCTTCCTGGTGTATGCGGCCAACTCGGCAATCGTGGTATACTCGTTGTGCCAACATTTAACAATGATATCGTCAATTAGAGGGTCACCATCCAGCTCGGGAAACTTCATGTTCTGCAACAAGTTCACAACCTTGGGCCCATGCTCCTTGGGATCCTCAGTAAGACAACGATCTCCATAAACTTCAAAGCCATAGTTTATCAGGTAGTATAAGGAACCAAGGGCGAACTGCTCTGTTCGAGGACCTAGGAAGCCGGCCGTTCCACGTCGTCCTTGGTCCGGCTCGTTGCTATCAAGTACTCTTCCGTACGGGGCCATGCAAGCTTCAAAGTCTGTCCCAATTTTCGCCGTACAATCAAAGTCAGATAACTTCAATCGATTGCGATCAAGCAGGATGTTTTCGGGTCGTAGGTCACCATGGGCGAGATTGAGCGATTCGAGGAATGCGACGGCTTGAGCAAGGTCGTTCATCCATGTCTTTCGTAGGGGCAAAGGTTCCAGCTTTTTAACTTCAGTAACAATTGTAGTTTCCTGGTCTCGGACCTGATTGTCTTGTATTCTAGAGCAAAGGGATACATCTTGTGACGTAGTTAGTAGATAGTCCGGTGAACATGCCAATGGGGCTCCCACCTCGCATGTACTCGAGAAAAATGCCGTTATCTGTATAGAGGAAACATTGCACTATAGAAGGACAGGGCTCGTGTCTGGAGAAGATGTCGTAAATCTTGACTTCTTTCCGGAATTGCTCCCGCTCGAATTCACCGGATTTTGGGACCTTCACCACGATGCGAGGATGGACCTCATAGACGAAAGAGATGCCTCCTTTCCAGACCCAGTGCACATCGGGAAACTGGTGTTGGATACTCATGCCAAGAGAAAATATGTTTTCCAAAAGGAATGTTTTGGAGGGCGCGCAGGCAAAATTAGGTTATGTATATAAGAGAGACGAGCGAAGAGAGGAAGGGAAGAGGATTAACCAGATCCAGACCAAGGTTGACCAAGTATATGTCTGGGTGCCTGGATTTTAAGGCTAGATATGTTGGTCGACCAACTAGCATAGTTGCCCTCCAACGCTTTCTCCCTCTATCGACACGAAACCTGCTCAAGGTACTTCAAAAGGCTAATTAAAAAGCCCTCAAGAACCATGTATAAGTAATAATTCTACTTGACTTGAAACTGGCGAGAGACCAAATACAAGTCCTGCGCCACAGCCCCTTATTTACTCGCCAATAACGCGTTTTAAGCCTTCTCCCATTTCCCATTCCTCTTCACCCAAATACCATTCGCGATACAATCAGGACATGGGTCTCTTTTAGTTGTTTTGCCCAAATATTGTGTTTTCTGGACGATGCCGCAATTCTTGCAGCTATTGAGCTCCTTAATAGTTCCCAGGGAATCAATGCTATGACCGCATCTGTGGCCAGTCGTCTCAATGAGTTGCTGGCACATGTTTTTTTTACCTTGCGTTCGCTCATATCAGCCATAGCTAGTCTGCTTTGGTGGGAAGACTCACTTGAGGTTTATTAGACTGGCACCAAACGAGGCGTGTCAATTTTGGTAGTGTGGATTTGTTGTTCCAAGGGAGGAGCTGATGCTGAGGATCGAGTGCTGAAAAGGAGGGAATGAGATATTTATACCCAGCCTGTTTGACGAATTTGCAGGAAAGGGTGCGGAAAGGAGTCATGAACTGGCTGATAGACTTCACTGCGTCTGGTTCATGAGCCTGGTCATGCATGTACGGAGTACTCGACCTGTTGGCAGCATGTCCCACCAGGATCACGCTTGGTAACTTCAGGGAATGAGGAACTCACAGCCAATGTTTACTTGGCGCAGGCCTACAACCCGGGCCGGCGGATATGTTGGTCGAAGAGCAAATCCAGTCAAAGCCTCTTGCACGCTCGCATCAGCATGTTTTGACCCCAGCCAGTTCTATCTCAGTGCTACTAGTGGGCCACTTGACAGGCCTTACTGCGGCCGCCTATCGGCCTGTAATTACAGGTTATTCGTCGCGGTCTTTCTCGCGGCCGCTGCTTTCTACTCAGAGCACGCACTTTGTAGTGCCTCGGGGACTGCGGGTACAGAGCAGCTATCGGAAGAGGCCACAGGCCGTGACAAGCGTCAAGGCGAAGCCAGACATGCATTACCAATCATTGATTGCATAACCACGCTGGAGGGCCTGTTAGGCGGTGTTACCTACTACCAACAGACCAACATACACGGTTGAATGAATGGGTGGTGGCATGAGCGCTGTCACAGCCTCATTTTACGACTTTTCTCGCCAAAATTGCTGGCAATCATATGTCCCTTCTGCAGAGAGAAACAAAGATTGTTTAGTAATGGCGTTGATTCATGCCCTCACGCTACTCTGTTATATTTTCCTGTATATAGTGTGTGGCAGAATGTATTTGCCCATCGAGGAGTGTACACTTATATACTGTGGTGCTGACATTATAGTATAAATCGGGATAGCCAGGTACCTGATCTGTTCAAGTACTTTTTGCCTCCCACTGTAGCTGTCAGTTGAGTGGTTGGAGCCATACCGAGTGGATGTTTGTGGCCCGGTGCAAACAAACCAAAACAAATGTGTGATACCAACCAACAACCTTCGTTCTCCCGACTCTCCTACACGCTGAGAGGCCATCCTTCCATGCCTTGGATGTCTCAAAGAACGCCAATGCACTTCAGTTGGTGATATACGCACCTGCGGCATGGGGTCAGCTGGGTTGCTTGGACGTGGTCACACTCCTTGGTGCGTCTACAGACTGTACGACAATTGGTTGCGAGTTGTTATCAAAAGCAAAATGGCAATCAAGAAGTGGATCGATATGCAGCAAATTGACACCGCACTGAGACCGGATGTCATTATCCGGCTGGTCATTGATTTGCGGCCTGCAGCTGTTGGTAGGAAACTTTTCAGGAAGGCTTCAGGGTAATGCATGCCAAGCCTGCAAAGACATTGTCATGTTTTGAAGGCTCTTGCTTGAGAGACGGGCTTGTCACTACTGAAACGGTTTACTGTGCTTGCACTCAAGTAACTACACAGACGAACATTAGTACATAACTCCAGTCCGACATGCTAGTGAATATTGTATTTCCAAGAACCACTCCAGCTCCGCAATCGCAGAAGGTTGTCTGATAAGATCATGACGGTGAGCATCTGAAGGACACTATTAAGTATCCTCTTCATGTACTGAGACCCGACTTCCGTCCGATCCATACGTCATAAAAAGAACGCGCTCGAATTAAACAGCAATTATACCCCCTTATATTCCGTTGATACTATATCTCTCTCCGCTTGCCAACCCACATGACTCGACTTCGAAGCTTTATTTAAAAGCTCCCCTTCACATTTTTATATAAGATTCAATACGGTTTGCAAAACGAGCGGACTGGGGTGATGGGATGGCTTGTTCCTCTGCCCTAGGATAAGGTGTTTCACGAAACCGCTGTCGAGTTCTGTGCGGCTGGGGAGTGAAATTTTTGAAACGCATACTTTCTTTATAGAAGCTTGTTGCTTTTAAATACAGCCGTATTGGGTATAAAGTCCGAAGGAGAGCCGTACTCTGGGTAGATGACTACAAAGAGGTGGAAATGTAATAGCATAAGACTGGTATGGCTCGGCTTACACACTCCGCTTCGGACCCAGCCTGTCGGTCAGGAACCACTGACGAGCCAAATCAACGAAGCGTCGGCTCTTCGAGCTTTCTATTTCCTGTTCTCTTTTCTCCTTGTTCTCTAACGTTTAGATGATTATAGTCATCGCCTAGCTAGCTGTCGATATACGCAGCTTTGGCACTGTTACACGGACAAAGACGCGAAGGGGGGAAACGATGGCGAGGCAGATGGGTTGGATCCTCACCACTGCATCTGTCTTATGGTATATTAACAGAAAATATCTGGGTCCAGAACGGCTTGGTAGCGGGCCAATGATGAGGGTGAAGAATGCCATGTTGTCTGGGGTGAAGGTCAAGATTCTATCAAAGATATGCTAACTGCAATCATGGTAGAAGTCGATGATTACCACGGGTCCAAGTTCCCCGGCACCGACAGCGTCCCCATCTTGCCCTTACCAGGCGATTCGGATATACAAGGCATGGCGGTTCGCGCACTACAGTTGTGTACCCGAGCATGCTAGGCAACTCGCGACCACATCTTATTTTCATAGCTGGGGCTCTATAAGATGGCTCGATAATGGCTTCTATCTGGCCGTGATTGTGAGTGACTATTGGACAAATTATCGGCCCCTCAGCTGGCGTACATCTAATACTGGGAGTAAGCGCCGGCAATTACTATCCTGTACTGGTTTTACTCAAGTCTGCGCCTCGGCTTAGAAACTGGACTTACCGCTGGGCAACAACAAGCTACGTAGCGTCCTAATATTGCCCAACATCATGACATCCCTCTACTGCTACTACTCAAGGGACATTCTGCCCCTGTTAATCTCCTCTTGCGAGTTGATAGGGGTCACATAAAATCCCTCCTCACACGCCTTGATTTGCAAACCCAAGAGTAGCGAGTATATCCTGCACAAGGCCAAATTACCACCCATATACCAGAATCCTGGATGTCCACTGTATCGCCACATCTACATGGTTATTAGCATTTCGATTCACTTCCATGTTTTCTGCGTCTTGGAGGCACACTTACTGCGTTTAGCTCCCCCTCATCGTTGAGATCCCACACATCATGAAGACGATCGGCAACCTTGTCGCCGAAAATCTTGCGCGCCGACGTGCGCATGTTATCGTACCCTGTTGCAAGAACAACTACATCAGCGGGCAACGTCGACCCGTCCGCCAGCACCAATCCGCTCTCATTGAATGCCTTGATTCCGCCGCGGCTCTGGCGTACTTTGACTTTCCCGTCGGCAATGAGTTGGCTGCATCCGACATCAATATAGTACCCTCCTCCGCGAGTGAGATACTTTCTCATGATACCAGCGCCCTGCGGTCCCGAGTCAAGCTCAAAACCGGCCTTGGTCAATCCGTCAAGCAAGTCCTTGTCGACTTGCGCGATTCTCTTGGTCAAGTGTGAGCTGAAGTTGAAGGCAACAGGGATGGGCATGCTCTGTGCATAGATGTCTGCATCTTCGGTGGGAGGGCCTGTTTCATCGTACAGGCCGGCATGAAGCATAAAGACACCCTTCTCCGCCGTGAGGACATATGTTCCGCCTCGCTGGAGCATAGTTACATCTGCGCCGTTCTCGTAGTAATTTTGACAAATGTCGTGGCCGCTATTGCCGGTGCCCACGACTACGACCGTTTTGCCGGCGACTTTTGGGTCGAGGCTTGCGTCTTTGTGAGAGCTTGTGTGGTAGGTTGTACCTTTGAATTGATCTTGACCGGGAAAAGAGGGCACAAGCGCCTCGCCAGAGTGACCGGTAGCAAAGACAATGTGGCGTGGGCGTAGTGTTCTGAAAGACCCGTCTCGGCAACGGAGGGTTACAGTCCATGATTTGGCGGTTTCATCATATGACGATGTTTCTATCGTCGTCTTGGTCCAGACGTTGAGTTCCATGAGACTTGCATATGCTTCAAACCAGTCTGCAATCTTATCTTTGGGAGTAAACATGGGCCAGCTAGATGGGAACGGAATGTACGGCATATGCGTGTACTGGACAGGATCGTGCGTGACCAGTGTCTAGTTAAACAATGAGCACGAATTGACACATTACCGGGGCATTTCTTACTCTGTATCTATTGCGCCAATTGTCCCCGATTCGATCATTTTTGTCGATAATGAGCGTCGATACACCTAACTGCCCGAGTCGAGCACCAACATCAAGTCCAGATTGTCCTTGGCCGGACTCCGTCAGTAAAAGGTAGGGGAATAAATTATGCCGAATACGTACCTGCCCCGATAACCACTACCGCAGGATCCTCATCCAAAAACTCCTTTTGTCTCTCCCTCCTTTCCTGCCAATTCCCGGATCCACCGAGAGAGTTGTTCCCACCATGCGGCCTGTTGAGGTGTGTAGTCTCATTAAATATTTTTAGCTTCTGTAACATGAAACTTATCATGAACACCTTCCAACTTCCAGCGTCTTTGACCAGTCGAACAATACCCGATCCAAGTCCCACCTTGGTCTCAAAGTCAAACATGGCCTCAACCCATTCGACATCAGGCAACTGCTTCAGGTTCGGTTGGAAAAATGCTGATTTTCGAAGTCGAATGTTTTGTATGCCAGAGGACGTGAGGTGGCACTCCATATGATGTATTATCTTGTCTTGGCCATTGAGGGTACGAAAGTCCCATGACATGGCAAGCAGGTCCCGCATCCAGGCATCCCCATGAAACAGTGACTTTAACTTGATGAAATCCGCCGCACATAATGCGTCGTTTAAGCCGTGGATCCAGGTCTCAACAGTAGCATACAGTTCGGGTTCGGATAACTCGACGGCATCCTCACACGACAGGCAAGGGAGGTTGACAACATGCGGATCAGCAGTGCTACCCATATTCTATTCGATATAGTATTATATGGCAATACTGCAAATAGAGTAGAGAAGTTGACAATCTCGGATTTTGTGGATGAAGTTGTTCAGGTTGTACTGGAGAGGGGTTTTATAGCTACATGTACCATTTGCCGGGATACAATGCTCCGGGCCGTGGTGTCCGACCTCGGGCCTCGACTGTCCAGGGCGAGACTCGACCTTCCCCTCTTTAGGCAGCACCGTGCAAATGAGTCTATCCATTTTTTAATTCCGATGCAATTAATCTATCAGAACAACTCATTGATGCGGACGACCGGTTTTTACTCGCTTACTGGTCATAAACGCAAACCAGCTTTCTGCCAGCCCATCGACACCACGCGTCGTCGCCGATCGGGGTCGCGCTCACATCACATATTGCATCGCTCATCTCCCTGTTACTATGCCCTATACGCAGCAGGATCTCTTCTTTTATAACGGGGACGGTATAGGGTCCGAAGACCTCACAGATTACAAGCTGTGCGGACTCCATCCTATTATCCTTGGCGATATTCTCCCAAAGGCCGGTACGTGTGTAAACGAGGGGGCAAAACAACCAAGATACCGAATCGCACAGAAGCTTGGGTTTGGGGCATTCTCAACGGTTTGGCTAGCTCGTGATCTTGTTGAGGAGTAAGTTTGGCTTCGACGCTAATACTACAAACACTTGCTAATAGTGAATAACGGTCTCGTAGAAGATACGTTGCTGTGAAAGTTTGCTATGGATCCAAGCAGATCATTCGGAGCAATGAAGCGACGATTCTCTGTCAAATTCACCAGAATAAACACAGAAAGTCCGGCTACAATAATATTATTAAAATATATGACGTCTTTACAATACGAGGCCCGAATGGATTTCATGAATGTCTAGTAACAGAAGCTGTTCTCCCCCTAGACGACATATCTGTCCGACAAAAATGCTCGCCTCAGCAAGTAATTCAACAATTTCTAAAGGCATTTGATTTTCTACATAGCGAGGGGGTAGTACATGGTGGTAAGACTCAAAGCTCATAACTAAATTATGGGCGTTAGTTGTTATAAAGGTTTTCGGCTAATAATAAACGTTTTTTTGTAGATCCAAACTACGGCAACTTTGGTATCGCGATACCACAGTTACAGAAATTTGATGAAAGGACGATTGCAGATTACTTCGCAGACCCTCCTGTTATAACGGTGGTACCGCGTGATCCATCGTTTCCAAGAGACTCGGTACCAAGTTACATCACGGAAAAGGTCTCCTTAGCATCCTTTATCCTAGATAAACAATGTTTCCCCTTAAGCGAGGAGGTCTGTTTAAGGTCTTCGATTTTGGAAGAGGCAAGTCAATAACTTGTTCCCATGTTATTCTGCTGGTTTACTAACATCCAGGGTTTATATTAGCCTGCTACGCTGATACAACTGCCGGAGAATTACCAGGCGCTGCCCCTCCGACGGTTCGGCCACCTGAAGTCTACATGTATAGTTTGTCCGGCGGAAGGATCGGATCCGTCTGGAGCAGAGAAGCGGACATCTGGGCAATTGGGAGTATAGTAAGTCATTTCATCGAACTCCGCATTAAACATGGTATGTATGTTAATCCTATCGGACAGGCATACCAGATCAAGACTGGCTGCCAACTTTTCTTGGTACAAGGTGATCTCCAGAATCAGCTCTACCAAGCATTGAGGCTCGGTGGGGCGCCACCAGAGGACTGGTCCAAGTTTTGGGACTTGGAGAAGTTCTGCGAGAGTACGAAGGGTCGGAGAAAGCCAGTATTGCCAGTATTTAATAAGGACGAGGCCTGGGAGTCTCGTAGACCCAGAAATGACCCCGAGAGCGAGGTTTTCCTCGATTTCATACGGAAGATGGTTATAACAGAGCCTGAGAGACGAAGTCAGATAGCTGAACTTCTTCGTCACCCTTTTTTATCTTAATGTACTATAACACAACGAGCGAATAAATAAATCCAGAACTGCAGCGTCTGCTTGAACGTCGGTGACAGTGATTATCCAGTGCCGGCAACGAGACAACCAGGGTGGCACAGGCACTGCTTAAGTCCAAGTGGCGACAGTTCACTAGACCTATCTACTAAGGATGTTCTGGATATCAAGATTCGAGCCATAGTCCGAAACCTGCGATTTCTACACGTGTTAAATACCCGTGCTGTTTCTACATGATAATTTTGCCGAGAATCATGTAATTTCAGCAGCTTCATTCGTTTAATGCTAACCTCGAGACCTTCTCAAATTCATCAATCTGACTATTGTACGACACTGCGGTACTGGCCAAGCTCGTCGCTTCCAGACACTTTGCCCTCACTCCCTCGGGGCTTCGAAACCGTCCATGACGACTCTTGTTGTACTAATGAGTTGGGCGAGGCTGGCTGAAAGAAATCGCAACCCTCACAAGATGGATAGGCTCGTCGCAAGGGGCCTGAAGCTGGCGTTACCCGATGGTGAAAAGATACCGAGTTATAAAAGGAAAAGTCTAATTTGGAATCAAATTCGCGCTACGGGGGTCACGGCTTGTATGAATGGCTGGTCCAACCCGAAGGCACAACACTTGAAGTTGGGACAAGTAGCTGGCGTAGTATGTCTATTGGACCGGGAAAATATGACGACGAAATTAGCACGTAGCCAAAGATATCATCTGTCAGTTTTTGATATAGCCGTAAGGTTTGTTTCACGAGAGCAACAATATTTGTAATGCTTATACTTTGGTTGGACCAGAGATCTAACAAGCTTTTTGTTGCCATTCTAATTCAGCCAAAGTAAGCTTGAGGACGATGTCTCAATCCCCCCCGAATACGTGATGTACTGGATCATAGTCCATATGTGCACACTTGATCCAACCTTTACCTCGAGCAAAAGCTTCCAACACATCCTCATCGGCTGGTAGAAAAAACCGGTACCGCCCGAACGTCTTGTTAATGGGCGCACCCCAACTTCATTGTTATAGAAATGCCACAACTAGTCCATGTTCTTGTTTTCCAGTAACTCTTTATCCGAACGTGTGTCTAAAAAGAACAAAGACAATACTTTGTCGACCATGTCTGATGAATCACCGGAGAACTTTTGGCACAATAGCACTTCCTCGCGCACTTGACTCCTGCTCTTTTGGATCAGCATCGAATCTGACTGCAGCGGAATTAAGACTAGCAGTTCATACTGTGTCAAATTGAACATGGCCTCCCTCGCCCATCAAAGACGGCGAGTACCATTTCAAGCCTCGCCTCTCCTACAACAGGAAATTCCAAACCAAGTCCCACCCAACCTGGTCTCATCGATGTCTCTACTACCTTTTTACTAGGTAAAATCTGGCGACACGTTCTCAAAATTGTTACCGCCTCTGGTGTCATCACATTGGATGACTTCTTCACATGGAACCTAGATATGGGAACAGACTGTACCAGCTTACTAGTTGGTTTCTATTACTGCAATGCTATCTCTGGCACGGGAACAAAACCACCAACGGCCTGTCCGCTACCAACACCGAGTGCTACCGCCAACGCTAGATATTTTACAGCCTTTATCAAGAGCCTGAGTTACCACCGCGGTCCTGTTATTACGATCCGGAACTAGGTCAGGTAGGCTGTGCGTGGAAGGTGCCTATAACTAGAAACTTGAGGCAGCCATCAGGTCGGATTTGATCCCTTTTTGTAGAGCCTTTGAACTAGCGATAGCTGGCAACAATACACGCACATATATCCCACCAAAATTTCTTCCAGCTCATAATTATTGTGCCTTATACGAGGAGTCTCGTACAAAATTTGTTGCATTGTTTGAGCGTTGCTTTGAGGGTAATGAACTAGCTACGAGACAACTTAGAAAAGAGGATATCATGGAATGTGTTTATCTCAGCAAATATTAAATAAATTAAGTCAGATATCACTTTAGAGGTCGTATATCTCTCGAGAATAAGATGATTTCCCATATACATTGTAGAATGCGCCATTCTTTACTTAAGCGATCCCCCTTGATTATACTCTCCTATACCAATTCTGCTTTGGATCGTTCAAGCATTCCCCAACCGTGACTGACTTGAATCCATTTTTAAACAGCGACTTGAGCATATGCTCCGTCAGGTTGTATACGGACTGAAATACTATGTCATGCTCAATGTCTAGCCACTTCGTATTCTCGGGGTTTTTCCCCTCGACATTCCTATCCCATATGTCCTTTGACTTTTGGATCTCATATGGAGAGTCATGCAAGTACCCCTCAGTGTCGAGATTGAAGTATGTGACATGATATCCCAGCTCACCCAGCCGTCGGTCAACCTTGTCGCTGCTTGCCGAATAGGGTGGACGAAAATACGTGGGGAAGTAGCCGAGGATGTCAGTCAGCGCGATTTCATTGTAGAAGATTTGGTTGTCTAGCTGAGCGTCGCTGATTTCGGGAAGACGCTGATGCGACCACGAGTGGCTGCCAATTTGGTGACCCTCCTCGATCATGCGCTGAATGAGGTGGCGCCAGGGAAATGTAGCATTATTGATGGCACCTTTGCCAAGATTTCGGCCCGTAACGAAGAAGGTGGCCTTGGCTTTGTATGTCTTATCCAAGTTAGTACTCGGATCTGAGCAGGTAATGTGTGTGAATATATGTCTTGCATCGGTTGAGAGGTAGTAGCGTGCCTTGAGCAAGTTGAGTAGATCAGCAGTGTACTCATATGGGCCATCGTCGTATGACAGCGCAATAACCCCATATTTTTCACAATGGTAAACCCCCTGTCCGTATGGAACTGAACCGTGCTTGGATCGATCGACATGCTTCGTGTCTGGACCACTCGGGCGAATGTTCCCGTCGCAACTATCGGAAAAGTCGACCTGGCAGGCAGGAGACGAGCAGTAATCATACCCCTCGCCGCACCACCTAATCCTCAAGACGGAAAACAATGTCAACAATAGTCCAAGAGTGTGTTAAAGTCAAGTCTGAGTTTGTACTGACCCTTCAATAGAGCAGCAGTATCCTTTAGGACAGGCTCTTTTTCCTTGATTAATACCACACCGACCGTCTTGTCTAGGTGATGGGCCACCAAATGTCGAATGCTCTTCCATTGTTTGCTTCCCGCCATCCATGTGGTCGCCCAGGAGTCCGAGTCTGAGTGCGATCGTGGCCGGCACAGCCGCAAATACAAGGGGCAAAGCCTTCATTTTGTACACGAGCGTAATCGAGACTGGGTTGGACTACCTGGCGGAAGCCTGAAACCATGCCGTTCAGATGTTGCCTGCCGGTTTTGTGGCAAACTATCTACCGAGCTTCGCAACAGAAAGCGAACCACTGATTCTATATATCCTGCAGGTGACGAATAACGCGTCCTGCATGGTAACGGACGATGCACTGTCAACCTCCGAAATAGCATAGCACTGCATTTAGCTTTATTGAGTTCCATGGGTGCTATCAGGATTGTTGTGTGTGCTCGGTCGACACTGGTGTGTAGGACGATGCCTGACCCGACAAGTCGCAGCATCGGGAACTAAAAGTCATGAGGCACCAAAGCGTTGCACAACGTCATATTGGACCGATCAAACGTACCATCCACCTACAATACGTTGTACAAACCAGTTGAGCACAGGTGGCAAAAGAGATGTGGCACAGCATGCGAATAGCTCGTGTAATCCTGGCCCGGTGGTAGCACGCAACAAGTTCCGACGTGTTTCTTGCTGCATAGTACGGGATCAGAGGCCGGATTAGGCGCCACGGACGAAAATCCAAGCTTGTGCGCCATGGAGAAGCCTTTTTATAGAGTCGAGAGGTACAAGCCCTGCATCTAGTTTTAGGCGTCCGTTCAAGAGTATGTCCCCTTGTTTTCGGCCACCAAGCTCGAAATCGAAAGATTGATGTACACACGATGGATAATGTAGCAAGAAGTACCAATACGAGGCAAAATGCAATAAACAGCCGCATCACTGGGTGCGATATCCAATCAATCGAATGACGCAGTTGAAGCCGCGTGGCGCGTCGCGTTTGTTGGGTGACTAAGAATCGCAATCAATGGTGGCCACCCTATACAGCCGACGACGATGCCAGCGACGTTGCTTCATGAAGTCAGGTTTGTGGGCTCGACGGGAGAGAGTGTCAATCATCAGGGTCAAGTTTCACTCGAGGCGAATTCCCACGTTGCCGTCCCCCTTGGCAAACCCCGAGGATCAGGTATGACGCGCATTGTGCATGAGCATGAGAAGCATGGCGCTAGTGACAGGCCAGAGGAGGCAGTGCCAAGCCGATAAGCGACTGGTAAACATGAAAAGTTGGAAAGCTCCATGATGACTACTAGTGTTGATCTATAGTGAGGTAAGTTTGTTTCAGGCATCTATGGTGCCTTTGGGTTTGTTGATGATTGATAAGTCGATCCTCGGAACGATATAATCGGGACCCAAACTTATGTGTTTATTACACGAAAGCTGAGCGTCTCCATGGAAGCGCGGTTCATCTAGAACAGGATGATGCAATTAAATGGGGACATGTCCACCGTGGAAGAGGTTTTGACGGGAAATAGCAACCTGAAAAACTATTGGGACGAGTCAGGCGCGGCGATAAATCGGAGTGGATGGACGGAAGTGCGTGGCCTGTACAAAGGGTTTTTCCTTTCTTTACCACTTGCATTGCTCGTTCATTCGGAAAGTCAAAGTTGAAGCATGTCAGCAGTTCGTTGATGCCGGTTACGATTGCTTTATTGGGACAAGTCGTGGTAGTTGCTCCTCTCCGCCGGCCATGCCGAATACTCATGCGTCGGACCTTTGGGTCCAGGGATTGAGAGCGCCAATTCCGACGTCCCTGCGTGCCGCGCACCAGCTCCTGCACCGCGGAGGGTTGTTCTCAAGCTTAATTCGACGTTGGGCCGGGTGCGGCTGTTTGGCTCTGTCCTTGGCGGCGTCCAGGAGCCAATAAAAGTAATCAGATCCATCTGATAAACGGCTCCACAGGGCATCGGTCCGGTTTTTTTCTTCTCTTCTTTTCCAAGGGTGGGAATATATTGAGGAAGAAGAGGAAAAGCCGATGCGACGAGATGGAGGAAGAGGATTTGATAAAGCCAAGTGCGGACTACAGAATGGGTCCCTTGTTGAGACGGCAAATGAAGGAGGAACAGGCAACGGAAGTAGAGTAAGAAGAGAAAAGGAACAGGAGCATTTCGCCCGGCACATCGCCCGGGTCGCGAGGTCGTGGGGACATGGTGAGCTACCATCCAACGAAACCAGCCCGGCCACTTTTCGGTGTTGAGCATGGCAGGGACATGGGGGTCTTGTTGTAGTGTTCACGCTCAGCTCGTTTCGTTTTCTCTTTTGACCGTGGGGGATGGACATGCATCCTGCAAGATTTGCATGTATTAATCCAAGGGCACACATGGCTGCCCAGCCCACCGGACGGAAATACATGTAAGGATATAAGGGCATGAACGCCTCGTCGAGGGCTGCTGTATTGGCCGCTCCTTCCTTTATTCCATCATCAATATTCCTTGCCGCTTCCGCTTCCGGGGTGAGACATTTGATGGGACCTGCCAAGCCCGCCTACTCCCACCAGACCGCCTGAGATCATCATTGAATATTCGTCAACACCCGAGACATTTCCCACAACAGGACATTGCGAATGTGCGCCTAGACTGGTTTGCTAGCACTAGCGTTGCAGCTGTTCCCAGCCATTATTTTTGACACCCACCAACTACAGTCAAGTGGGAGAGGCGAAAAGAATTTCACCAGATCAGGCAGCCAAAGTGTATTAGCGTATACTTGGCGGTGGGTAAATACAATTGATGTCTGGTACCTTCACAACATTGAAGGTATATTCTGCCGCACACAGTCTGGTAGCTTGGGTGCTGCGTCTTACTGGTCTTTGTATTTCTTCTTCGGCTTCATTTCATCTGCCTCAACTTGCGCCGGCACATCATCCAACCGCCACAGGCCCCATTCTTCGCTGCTGCCGTGACCTTTCGATTGACTGACTCACGGAGAATCGACATGGACCAAATGGGCAGCCAGCGTGCCTCGGAAAAGGCTGCCGATCCCCCAAGCTTCGTGGCCAGCGTTGGCCAACATCACACATCACCAGCCACCGCTGCCGACGCCGTCAAGGACATCACATCCCCGGGCGTCGCGCGTGTCGAGGCCATCTCCTCCGTCACCACCAACCGCGACAGAGTCTTCATCTTCTTGGGCGTCTTCCTCGTCGCATACGCCTACGGCCTCGACGGCACCCTCCGCTACGCCTACCAGCCCTCGGCCACCAACTCGTTTGGCAAGCATTCTCTCGCATCCACCATCAATGTCATCCGGTCTGTCGTCTCGGTGGGCGCCCAGCCCACGGCCGCCAAGATTGCCGACGTCTTTGGCCGCATCGAGCTCATTTGCTTGTCCGTCTTCTTCTACGTCCTCGGCACCGTCATCGAGGCCGCCTCCCACAATGTCGACACCTTTGCGGGCGGCAGTGTTTTGTACCAGATTGGCTACACCATGATTATTCTGCTCGTCGAAGTCATCATTGCTGATATAACCTCGACCCGCGCGCGTCTCTTCTTCAGCTACGTCCCCGCCCTGCCCTTCATCATCAACACCTGGGTGAGCGGTAACATTTCCGAGCTCGTGCTGCAAAACAGCACCTGGGAATGGGGCATCGGCATGTGGGCCATCATCTTCCCCGTGTGTTCCTTGCCCCTGATTCTCAGCTTGCTTGTTGTTTCTCGCCGTGCCAAGCGCCAAGGCCTGCTGGAGAACTACACGTCGTCATTTAAGCAGCTCGGTTTCAAAAATCTTGCCCTCGAGCTGTTCTGGCTTCTAGATGTCATTGGCATCATTCTCATTGTTGCCGTTCTTGAGCTCGTGCTTGTTCCGCTCACGCTTGCGGGCGGAGAGAGCTCCCAGTGGAAGTCGGCTCACATCATTGCGCCCATTGTCGTCGGCGTCGTGTGTATTCCTGCCTTTGTCTATTGGGAGCTCAGGGCGCCGCACCCGCTTGTTCCGTTTGCCAACATGAAGGACCGTTCTGTCTGGGCTCCCATGGGAATCGCCGTCTTCCTCAATTTCGCCTTCACCATGCAGTCTGATTTCCTGTGGACCGTCCTGATTGTTGCCTTTGACTTTTCCCAAAACACCGCCACCCGCGTGACCTCGCTCTACAGCTTTACCAGCGTCATCGTCGGCCCCCTTCTGGGCTTGGTTGTGTACAGAGTCCGCCGACTTAAAATCTTTGTTGTCATTGGCACAATGCTGTACATGGTCGCGTTTGGACTCTTGATTCACTTCCGCGGCTCTGCAAACGGATCGGCCCGGGCTGGTGTCATCGGTGCTCAAGTGGTTCTCGGCGTCGCGGGCGGCTTGTTCCCCTACACCACTCAGGCCTCATTGCAGGTCAATCTAAGACACGAGCATTTGGCCGTCATGACAGGTATCTATCTTGCGACTTACAACATTGGCTCTGCACTTGGAAACACTGTCTCGGGAGCCATGTGGACTCAGCTCCTACCCGAGAAACTCAATGAAAACCTGAACCCTATCAATGCCACCCTGGGCCCTCTGGCTTACAACTCGCCCTTGACCGTTGCACCGTTGTATCCAGTTGGCACCCCTGAGCGCACAGCAATCATCAGTTCATACCAATATATCCAGAAGCTGCTCACAATTACCGGCATCTGTCTCTGCGTTCCCCTCATCGTTTTTGGGCTCTTGCTCCGCAACCCGAAGCTCAACAATGACCAGACGCTCGCCAAAGACTCTGGAAGTGAGACCAAGACTGAAGATGATTCTCGTGCGTAATTTGACACATGAATAAAGATGTTGTTTTTCTTGTTGTTTTTTGACCATCCGTTTTCGCGAAGCATTGTATGTGGCGAGGGATGTTTTAAGTGGTTGCTAATATTAACAGTTCCACATTCGCAAGGCAACTGGAAATTTTGGTCGTGTAAATAGATGGAGCGTTCATTCTAGCGGAAGGCTGTCAACTAACTTACTGTTGTTTGACTCCTCATGTGTGAATGGATCTTTGTTTCCGCGTAGCGGTACCAATACCGTCTTGCCGAGTTTCTACAATCTGGGTGGAATATATTTATTCACAAAGAAGTATACACTAATACATTATAATATAAAGAGTGATAGCCGGGTATTTTAACTAACCAAGTTTTGACTTCTTCTACTGTGATATATAATACTGTAGAAATAGACAG